TAATAGGTGGATGTTTATTGTTTAGACTTTGGCACACCATAATAGGCGGGTGTTTATTGTTTAGACTTTGGCACACCATAATAGGTGGATGTTTATTGTTTAGACTTTGGCACACCATAATAGGCGGGTGTTTATTGTTTAGACTTTGGCATACCATAATAGGCGGGTGTTTATTGTTTAGACTTTGGCACACCATAATAGACTGGTGTTTATTGTTTAGACTTTGGCACACCATAATAGGCGGGTGTTTACGGTTCCGGCGTGGTGTCCCACAAATTAGCGTTTAGACATGGGAGTCGGGCGTTAGTAGTTATAGCCTCCCTAGAGGGTGGGCGTTTTAAAAACTGGTAATCTTTATACATGGTGGCCATAGGACTTCGGGACGACGACGGGGGGAGGGGGGGGGGGGAGGTGTTGGCATTTAGACAAAAAACAAAACATTTTCACCTCACTTCTCCAGGACAAACCGAAAATAGCCCCCCCCCCCGTCATATTGAAAGTGGTTTGTTTCATGTGTCTAGTTAACCATCCTTATAACTACTCATTTCCTTTTTTTTTAGTTCACGAAGCATCAACTGCATGCAGCTCGGCATGTGTTAAACTAATAGAAGGGGAGGGGTGTGTCTGACAAGCTTATAATGTTTCCTTTGTTAGCATTAGCCCGTAAGATAGTTGCCTTATCTTGGAGATATTTGTTTTTACACTGACATTGGCTGCAGCTAAATTAAATGTTTCAGTGGTAAATTAATTAACTCTGTGGTAGCCACTTGCCCAGCAGTGATTGCCTTTTACCCAGGTAGCCACTCACATAACATACCAGTGTAGCAGTTTACCCAGCATTTCTTTGGTAGCCACTAGCCAAACATACCAATGGTAGCCACTAGCCATTTGCCCAGCATACCAGCGGTAGCCATTTACCCAGCATACCTGTGGTAGCCATTTACCCAGCATACCAGTGGTAGCCATTTACCCAGCATACCAGTGGTAGCCATTTACCCAGCATACCTGTGGTAGCCACTAGCCATTTACCCAGCATACCTGTGGTAGCCACTAGCCATTTACCCAGAATACCAGCGGTAGCCACTAGCCATTTGCCCAGCATACCAGTGGTAGATATTTACCCAGCATACCAATGGTAGCCATTTACCCAGCATACCTGTGGTAGCCATTTACCCAGCATACCTGTGGTAGCCACTAGCCATTTACCCAGCATACCTGTGGTAGCCACTAGCCATTTACCCAGCATACCTGTGGTAGCCACTAGCCATTTACCCAGAATACCAGCTGTAGCCACTAGCCATTTACCCAGCATACCAGTGGTAGCCACTAGCCATTTACCCAACATACCAGTGGTAGCCACTAGCCATTTACCCAGCATACCTGTGGTAGCCATTTACCCAGCATACCAGTGGTAGCTGGTTATTTGAAGTTAATAGAGCGCCTTATTTCACCAATCAACTAGACACTGATACGCTGATGTACCTGTAATTTGTTGAACAAACCTCACAGACACGGCATGTTTCTGCATTCCTTTTGTTAAGTTCCCCACGCACCTGCCCCCCTCCCCCACACCACGCATCACCTGTATGCTCCGTCTTGACCCAGACTTGAACTCTTCTAGTCTGGAGTTCAGAAGTCTGATAAAAAAATCAAACATTCTTAAGGGGAAATTAGTGCCAAATCTGGCACATTCATCAAGGAATCAAATATTCATAGAAAAATTAGTACAAACGTTGGCCTACATTCATCATAGTATTAAACAGATAAGCCGAAAACTAGACCTGCACCAGAAGTATGTGACTTGTATATTTGTAATGGTGTGAAAGACATCTGGTTTGAACTTGTTAGTTTTCATATTGTAAATACAGGTATGTGAATAGAGGACTTTGTGGTTCGACTTGGCCAGCCATTCATTGGGTAGACAAAGCAAGACACTAAGCAAAGTCACTTTTACTGACATGTGATCCATCAATGACTCTTCTATGTGACTCCACCAATGACTCCTCTCTATAACTACATGTTTGACTCTTCTATGTGACTCCACCGATGACTCCCCTCTATAAGTGCATGCATGTCTCTCGTCTATTGTTACAAAATGTCTACACCACACTTGCCGTTATAAGATCAGTTTAGCAATTAGTTAATCATCTATTCTAGAGGACCGTGTTCTTTTACATTAAATGTCTTCCTGCATTCATTGATTGTAAACTTCAAATCTTTCACAGCTTTCAAATCAAGTGAAAACAAAATCCATATTTATTTAGCCAGACTTACTGCTGACGAGGCACCCGACCATCAATGGGCGCTAATCTCGGGATACTTTATTAATATAATAAAAAAAATTCTATCAAGAAAATAAATTCGAGTGTGATTTCGTTTGACACTGCATGGTCCCGGATTTTGTATAGATCTTAGTCATCAACGTCAAATGCTGAATGTTATATGGAAGTAATTCAGATTACCAGGGCCCCCCCCCCACCTCTATATTTTACACTCACAAGATAATACGCCATTGAGCACATAAAGATATATGTCGCGATGGGGTAGTACGTCGTTACATCTGCCTCATTGTAGACACTACAGCTCTGTTGAGAAAAACATTGTTTTGTAAATTTGTCAAGTGCTCTTTTTTAAATAGCTGAAATGTGCTCACTGGCTACGTCACGCAACACGCCGGCTTCCGTTTACCATAGAACTGTCAGCCACGTGGGGTGTTAGAGACACAAGACAGTACAGGCTGGCCCAGACTCTCTTCTCCGCCATATTATCTTCTATTTTGGCAGGAAAATACAAATGGCGTTTCATCGTTTACAAACACGGCGTCATCATCGCAAGCCCGTGTGGATTAGGGGGAGATAGGGGTTAATGTAGGATAGATGGTTTAGTAAAAGGGGTCGGGGGTAATGGGGGTCGAGGAGATAGGGGTTATAGATATTGTAGGATAGATTGTTGGTTAAAAGGGGTCGGATGTAATGGGGGTTGGGTAGGGATAGAGGTTCTAGTATAGATAATTTAGGATAGATGGTTTAGTAAAAGGGGTCGGAGGTAATGGGGGTCGAGGAGACGGGGGTTATAGATATTGTAGGATAGGTGGTTTAGTAAAAGGGGTCGGGGTGATAGGGGTCATAGATATTGTAGGATACATGGGGTGGGGGGGGGGGGAGTAATGAGGGTGAGGAGATAGGGGTCATAGCTATTATAGGATAGGTGATGGGGTGGGGGTAATGGGGATGGGGAGATGGGGGTTATAGAGATTGTAGGATAGGTGATGGGGGTAGGGAGATATGGTTATAGGGATTGTAGGATAGGGGATGGGGTAAAGGAGTGGGGAGATAGGGGCTACATATGTTGTAGGATAGATTATGGGGTAAAGAGGTTGGGGTACTTTGGGTGGGAAGTTAGGGGTTATAGATATTGTGGGGTAAAATAGAGTGGAAGGATGGGTAATGAGAATGGAGTGATATGGATACATATACTACTGTGTGTTAGTTTCACTGTTGGGTTGTAACGTAGATAAGGGTGAAGGGTGACGATTACCGGGGGGGGGGTGTATTTCATCCATGGGATATACTGTGGGGATAAAAGAGACTAGTTTGTGAGGGGTAAAGGGAGGCTGGGTTTGAGGGGCTAACAGATCACGTGCAGTTGTAGGTAGAATACGCGTTTTGATGTGAAAGGAGTGTGAGTGAGGTGGGGGAAGGAGGGAGTGGAGATGGGGAATCAGCAAACGTTAAAATTTAATTGCGCATGTGAGCCTGGGTTTTAGAAAGAAATTAAAGTGTTAAAAAAATGGCACATGTAGCAGCGACGTCTGCTAGGTTTGTGAATCGTGGTGTACGGTGGCGCCTCAGATTCGCGCGTGCGTGAGTGAGACACGCACGGGCTTTGTGTGTGAGCATGAATGGAGCCTCTTGTTGAACTGTCTCGGCACGCCCACGGTTTATCGTTGTTTGCTTTGAAAATTTAAAAAATTAACGGTAGATGGCGAGACAAAAATATTTTTCAGTGAGTTGCTGTCTTTGAGATTGGTTGATGGCGTGGGTAGGTGGGTTGTTGTTGTTGTTGTATCATGCCTGTACATCTGGCATTGAGATCCTGGAATATTTCGGTGCTTGTGACAATGAGTGTGTTTGTTTGGGTGGGAAGGGGGGGGGGGGGGGGTTGGTGTAGCTGAATGTATCACAAGTGTTATTTATAGCATACTTTGTGTTTTGTTTTTCCTTTATTTTTGTACTGGCCGATTAGCCAGCTTCAATTTTATTTAATTAGCATCACCAATTATGGCTATAAAAATTACGTTAACCCAAAGTTAAGCCTGAGCAGAACTAGGATCTATATCTAACATTAACTCCTAACCTAAGCCCTACCCTAACCTAAAGCTGATTACATAACCATTAGGGTAGTGTATCGTTGTCGCACGAACCATGTTTGAGTTTATGGGTATGGCTAATAAATGACTAACTTTTCCAATAGAATCCTAGCTTTAGCGAGATAGACGAGCGATAAAAATGTGATAGAACGAGTGAATGAAATAGCAACTGTGATTAGCCGTAAATAATGTAATAACATAAATTCAGGGGCGTCACTGGGTCGGGTATCACTCGGTGAGGTAACGCTAGTCACTTGGTGAGGTAAAACTAGTTAGGGTGTCACCCCCCCACCCCCAACTACCTACCCACACTGTGACGCTGTTTAAATCAGTATTGATTAACTAGTATTGATCAGTTCGTCTAAGATCAGCAGTACGAAATGTGATAAGTTAGTAAATAATATATATATATATATATATATATATATATATATATATATATATATATATATATATATATATATATATATATATATATGATTAGCATTAAGAAAAATATAACTTATGTCACCGATAGTATTGTAGCAATAATACTTAGCATTAAAAAGAATTGATTACATAAGTAAATAAGTAAAGTAGCATGTATGATTAGCAGTATAAAAGAACCCAGTGATTTTGGTTTCCTTGCCAGGCTGCTGGCGCATGTCCGAGGAGTCCAAGTGTCGGCTGAACGTGTGTGTCGCCGAGAACCAGCCCCGCCTCAACACGCTCTTCTGTTGCTGTACCGGTCATCTCTGCAACGCCAACGTCCAGAGTGCCTACGTCCCCAGCGTTCCTGCACACTCCGTGGACATTGTCCCAGGTCAGTGGTCATTCTTGGGGGGACATTGTCCCAGGTCAGTGGTCATTCTTGGGGGGACATTGTCCCAGGTCAGTGGTCATTCTTGGGGGGACATTGTCCCAGGTCAGTGGTCATTCTTGGGGGGACATTGTCCCAGGTCAGTGGTCATTCTTGGGGGGACATTGTCCCAGGTCAGTGGTCATTCTTGGGGGGACAACAGGTCAGTGGTCATTCTTGGGGGACATTGTCCCAGGTCAGTGGTCATTCTTGGGGGAGGTAGGACATTGTCCTAGGTCATTGGTCATTCTTGGGGGGATATTGTCCCAGGTCAGTGGTCATTCTTGGGGGGGGGGAACATTGTCCCAGGTCAGTGGTCATTCTTGGGGAGGGGACATTGTCCCAGGTCACTGGTAATTCTTGGGGGGGGGGGGGGGAGGACATTGTCCCAGGACAGTGGTCATTCTTGAGGGAAGGCAGATGGTAGGGAAATACATAGATACATAAGGGAAATCAGTCAAAACTGTGGTTTTTTGTTTTTTACTTTCTCGTATATACGAAGTATAGAGAAAGTCTTGTAATCGTGCACAAAAATCACATTAAATTTGGACAGTTTTCACCGTTTTACTCCTCAGTCCTTCATCACATCCGGGATATAGAAGACTTATTTTAATCGGGCAAAAATTATGAACTCAGATATATATAAAAATTTGGGCGTTTTATGCGTAATGGAGTTGGAAAAACTAGATTATCCAATTCTGTCCGTGTGTGTGTCCGTGTGTAAACACGATAACTTGAGTACCGTTACAGCTAGGTTGATGAAATTTCATATATAAGTATTTTATCAAAATCGTAGATCCGTATCAACTTTTGAGCGATTTCCGATAACCGGAAGTGGTACTTTTTCTACTTTGAATTTTTCAAAAGCCTATAACTTGAGTTCTATTTCAGATAGATAAATGAAATTTGATATGTAAGTAGAAGATCTAATTCTCTACCTTCTGTCAAATTTTGAGTAATTTCCGTTTATCGGAAGTACTTATTTACGCTACTTCCGATTTCTCAAAAACGCATGTAAATTTTTAAAGTAATAATAATATTGCGCACTATTATGCACATCTTTATTTAGCGTTCACTTGGTGTGCATTTCTTTTTTCTACGAGATTATATTCTATTTTTAAAAATTTGAGTATTTAAAATGGATTAAAAATCATGTCTAGAAGTCTATATCCCGAGTTGCCATCCCCCGTAGTGTTATATTAGAATATTCGAGAAAGTTTAGGGGAGATCACTCCCGGTTTATTTTAGATTATAGTCTAGTTATTTTTTTTAGTTTTTTTCTAAATTTTATTGACTAAAATATCTAATGATATAGGATCACCTCCCCCCACCCCCTCCCTGAATGTAGGTCCTCATCATGACCAGAGCTACAAGAAAAAGACCATCATCATCTCCCTTGTGTCGGTGGTGTCTGTGACTGTGGTGGTGGTCTTCAGCTACCTGCTCTACAGGCTGTACATCACACCCAAGCCTGTCAGCCCACCACCCTCCACGGTGGTCAAGGTGGACACGGACAGTAAACCTGGTGGACCACAGCTCAGTCTGGATGACCTGAAGGTGGGGGGGGGGGTGATTTGTGTAACAGCTGGGGAATTGGTTCTAGTTAAGGCTTCTTCTTCTTTTGTGACGAATAATAATAATAAGCTTTATTTAGTTACAGTAGTAGTAAGGTCTGCACCTTGGTTATTTGTCAGTTATGTAGGTAGGAGCTTGTTTAAGGGTTGTGGATAGTGCTAGTTTAAAAATTTATATTGGTATTTTATAAAAATTTATGTATTTATTCTATAAATATTTTATTACATAAATATTTATGTTCATTTTATAAATATTTGTTTATTTTATAAATATTTCTTTATTTAATAAATATTTATATGTTTGTTATAAATATTTATATATTTTATAAATATTTATATATTTATTTTGTGCTCACGATATAAGCTGAGGTAACTTGTTTCCCACAGATAGAAGAGGTGCTAGTCCGAGGTAAATACAGTGATGTTAGGAAAGGCTGGCTAGGAAACAAAGAGGTGGCTGTGAAAATTTATCAGCCCCATCATAGACAGGTAGGTCAATGGATGGCTGAGGCCATAGTTAAGACCAGTATATGGCCGAGGCCACCAAATGTATGTTGTTTAACACCAGTAGGAAGGCCCCTTTACCTACTATTGATAGGATGGCTTTGAAGGGCTTTACATCACTAGAAAAGCCTTATAATACTTAGCATATAAGACTCCTAAAGTTTTAAAAAGTTATTCTTTTATGTCTTCTTCTTCTTTTTCCCCATTCGTGCCCAAGACACATGGGTTAGATGAAGTAGAGTTCATCTGTTTCAGTGACCTTGGCATATAAAGGGATAGTATGGTCAGCACTATGCCCAGCCGCCTTTATTTCCCCTAACATGAGTTATGTACCCATCAGAGCTGGGTGGCCTCATAGAAGTTCTACTGACTTGAACCCGGATTCGAACTCGAGACTTTTGGTTAGCAGTCTAGCTCTCTACCACTAGGCCACGCCGTCCAATTTTTAAAAAAATATACCGTTCTCTAATTATAAATAAAATGGTGCAAAAGAATAAATTATTTTATCATTTTCACAGGTAATAATAGTTTATAAGCACACTAGTTTACCAATTTAATTTATTAATTTATAAGACTGAGCAGATAGAGCTAACAGCCTGTTCTTTCTTTACCCCAGTACTACTTCAATGAGAGGAATGCATTCACACAGCCTTTCATGGAGCACCCTAACATTGTCAAGTTCTTTGGGGCCAGGGAGCAGGAGGACCCGGGTACCCACATGACCCAGTTTGTCATTGTCACGGAGTACATGACCCTGGGGTCACTGACCAGTTATTTAAAGCACAACACTATTGACTGGTACACGCTGTGTCATATGTGTCTGGGGATAGCCAAGGGCTTGGCTTATTTACATACAGACATACAGAAGGGAGGTTGGTTCTCTTGCTTTTTGTTTTATTCGGACTGCCACTGTTTACAGATTAACTTGACCTTTAACACTTAGTGAATAGTCAGATTACCGTGGCATTTTACATTGTTGGTGAATAGTCAGATTACCTTGGCATTTTACACTGTTGGTAAATAGATTACCGTGGCATTTTACATTGTTGGTAAATAGATTACCGTGGCATTTTACACTGTTGGTAAATAGTCAGATTACTGTGACATTTTACATTGTTGGTAAATAGTCAGATTACCGTGGCATTTTACACTGTTGGTAAATAGTCAGATTACTGTGACATTTTACACTGTTGGTAAATAGTCAGGTTACTGTGTCATTTTACACTGTTGTAAATAGTTCAACATACTAGCTAAATCACCAACTTAATATTTAAATAGATTACCTTGGCATTTTACACTGTTGGTAAATTGTCAGATTACTGTGACATTTTACATTGTTGGTAAATAGATTACCGTGGCATTTTACACTGTTGGTAAATAGATTACCGTGGCATTTTACATTGTTGGTAAATAGTCAGATTACTGTGACATTTTACATTGTTGGTAAATAGATTACCGTGGCATTTTACATTGTTGGTAAATAGATGATTACCTTGGCATTTTACACTATTGGTAAATAGACAGATTACTGTGTCATTTTACACTATTGGTAAATAGACAGATTACTGTGGCATTTTACACTGTTGGTAAATAGTCAGATTACTGTGTCATTTTACACTGTTGTAAATAGTTCAACATACTAGCTAAATCACCAACTTAATATTTAAATCATCAACTTAATATTTAAATCACCAACTTAATATTTAAATCACCAACTTAATATTTAAATCACCAACTTAGTATTTAAATCACTAGTCAGATTCACTTCACAGTTTGCATTATTTATCATACATCACAGAGCACTTCTACATTTTGTACTTAAGCTTTCAAAACTTCTGTCCATAGGCTTGTTCAAGCCAGCCATGGCCCACAGGGATTTGAACACGCGCAACATTTTGGTTGGTCCAGATTTAACCTGTGTTGTTGCTGACCTGGGGTTTGCTGTGGGGATGATGGGCTCAAAGATCATAAAAAATGGAGTGGCGGAGAATGCTGAGCAGGCCTCTTTAGCAGATGTGAGAACCACCATTTGTATTGTGTGTGTGATGCCTAATCTGTCTGCCTTCCCTGATATCACTATAACAGTCTTTAAGTAATATCATTTGTAATGTAGGATTGATTGATTATAGGATAGCATTGGTTTGATAATGTGAGCAATCAGAGGGGTATGGCTCAAGATGTTTTTGATATTGTTGTGGATTGGCTTGATCCGGCCGGTAAAGCTCATGGTTGCTTAACTGGACAGTCCTGAGTTTGTACCCTCAGGCAGTTGAGGCTCGATAGTGTGGGACAGCATCTCATCTAGGAGAGAAAACTCCGAAATCAAACAACTTCTGCCCTGTAGTTTGTTCTTGAATAGACAGAGGGTATGAAATGAAACATAAGGAAAAGCATGCTGAGATTTGAGTCAACGACCTATATGGTGCATAACACGTTGACATGTAATACTTGAGTGTGTTACAATTCAGAACAAAAAAGAAGAAAGTATTATTGCTTTTATTAGGTTGGTACTTTGAGGTACATGGCGCTACATGTATGTGATATTATTTTTTCCTTTAGGTTGGTACTTTGAGGTACATGGCACCAGAAGTATTTGATGGGGCTGTAAACCTTAGAGACTGTGAAGCATCCCTGAAACAGATAGACGTCTACGCTCTCGGCCTGGTTATGTGGGAGGTGGCCTCTCGGTGTGTCGACCTTTATCAAGGTAAATTAAAACTACAAAGCGCTGTAGTTTATGTACGATTTCTCTCAAAAAACTTAAAAATCAAGTGAAAATATATTCACAGACAAAAATTTTGATTTAAAATAAAAATTTAATTAATAAAATAAAAAATAAACATGACTTTTAATAAACGTGACCAGTTTTTGCTAATAAAGATTTTTAACTGCTAAGCTGCTCTGTTCCCCACATGACCTATGATTTAAATCTCATTTACAGGAGCCCCAGTACCTGAGTATCAGCTGCCCTATCAAGCAGAGAAGGGGCCACATCCAACGTTTGAAGACATGCAGATCCTAGTGGTCAAGTACAAAACAAGACCAAAGTTGCCAGAAGTTTGGAAAGATTCGAACCCTGTTTGTAGATTTTATCAATTTATTATTAAAGTAGATAGTCACTTAAAGTAGTAACAAGATTTTACTTTACACAGACAAATAGCTATAGATTGTAGATTTTATCCTTTTTATTATTAAAGTAGATAGTCACTTAAAGTAGTAACAAGATTTTACTTTACACAGACAAATAGCTATAGATTGTAGATTTTATCCTTTTTATTATTAAAGTAGATAGTCACTTAAAGTAGTAACAAGATTTTACTTTACACAGACAAATAGCTATAGATTGTAGATTTTATCCTTTTTATTATTAAAGTAGATAGTCACTTAAAGTAGTAACAAGATTTTACTTTACACAGACAAATAGCTATAGATTGTAGATTTTATCCTTTTTATTATTAAAGTAGATAGTCACTTAAAGTAGTAATAAGAATTTACTTTACACAGACAAATAGCTATAGATTGTAGATTTTATCCTTTTTATTATTAAAGTAGATAGTCACTTAAAGTAGTAATAAGAATTTACTTTACACAGACAAATAGCTATAGATTGTAGATTTTATCCTTTTTATTATTAAAGTAGATAGTCACTTAAAGTAGTAATAAGAATTTACTTTACACAGACAAATAGCTATAGATTGTAGATTTTATCCTTTTTATTATTAAAGTAGAGAGTCACTTAAAGTAGTAATAAGAATTTACTTTACACAGACAAATAGCTATAGATTGTAGATTTTATCCTTTTTATTATTAAAGTAGATAGTCACTTAAAGTAGTAATAAGAATTTACTTTACACAGACAAATAGCTATAGATTGTAGATTTTATCCTTTTTATTATTAAAGTAGATAGTCACTTAAAGTAGTAATAAGAATTTACTTTACACAGACAAATAGCTATAGATTGTAGATTTTATCCTTTTTATTATTAAAGTAGATAGTCACTTAAAGTAGTAATAAGAATTTACTTTACACAGAAAGTTAGATTTTGTCCAGCTATTATAACAATAGATAGTCAGTTTTGTCACAGTATTAACCAGACTTTCATATAGGTTACACACCAGACATAATAATACATCGGCATTAGCTATACCACTGCTAAAAAATTTGTTTAATTTTTAAAGGGGGCCTAAACATTGACATCAAGCTTGGTTCTATATCTTATCTTACTATTGAACTATCTATATCAGCAATTTGAATACAGTGGTATAACTAATGGATATTAAAACCAAAACAATTGTGAATTTTATAAGGTGTTACGTGTATCTGATTAGAAATTTCTTTCTCTAGGCTGTTCGCTGTCTGAAAGAAACCATTGAGGACTGCTGGGACTCTGATGCTGAAGCTCGCCTGACTGCGCTGTGTGTGCAGGAGAGGGTCTCGGACATTTCCTCACTCTGGTTCCACGGGACCAAGCACCGGGGCGTCACGCCCACTCTCAACGCCACCATGAACATCACTGAAAACTCCAACATCCACAACTGTGCGACCGTGGTTTCAAATGGTTCCTCATACATACCTTCGTATGTTGACCGGAACAATGAAGCCAATATTCAGGGAGTGGACATTGAGAAAACTTCACCGGTGATTTTGAATAGCCTGAGGCGTAAAGCTGACGAGGATTCGGACACAGATGTTGTGTGTCCCCTGATGGGCAGCAGTCAGGTGCTGGGCGAGGGCAGCAGCATGGACCTCAAAGACCAGAGCATGTCCGAGTCCACGGTTGATACCATCCTGCCAACCACCCCTTCCACTGACACCACAGACAGGGCCAACCAAACCCCACTGAAGGCCAATAACATCATGCTGGCCAAAAACAAGGCTGTTATTCTACACCCTAACCAAGGGAGGAACCCCACTGCGCAGAGGAACACACACAAGCGCAGTGACGAAGAGCTGACAGTTTCTGGGAATAGGCTTGTTGGACCAGAGGAGCAGAACCAGGGTGGGAATACATCAAGTTGTACGAGACGGGTCAGTACACAGAGCGCACCTCCCAACCCAAGCACAGGGGGTAGCTTTGATGGTTACGACGCGGTTGAATCATCATCGCTGGTCCAGAACGACGCCCTGAGCCACCAGCACAGTCACCCGCGTAACATGCCCATTCCTTATTTACAGAACCATGTTCACGGGGAGGGCGTGGCATCTGCGGCCCCAAATCTGACCCGGCCGAAGTTGGCCAACATAAGCAACAACAGGAATTCCTACCTACGACTTCAAGGTGAGGATGGCAGTCCTCAAGCAGATCCCAGCCAAAGAGTTGCTGAAAAAGAAATCCATTCTAAGTCATTGAAGCACAAGCTCAGCAAGCTGATCCGGCCTATGGACCTGGGGAATAAGTTTACAAAACTGATGTTTGGCAAGCACAAGAAGAGTCAGGTGGCCGAGTCAGGGACAAGCGCCCCTGGGCAGTACATCAACAGCGGCCTCGAGGCAAGCCCCATCGGAAGAAATCCACAGAACAGTAACCTAAACCAACCGGTTATTTTGGCGGTTGAGATGATCAACGGGTCACCAGTGTCCAAGGCTTGTAGTGACCCTGAGGGGCAGACTGCCGTGACAAGTGGACTAGCCCAGTCGAGGCTCTCTGCCACCAATGTCATGAGGCTTGGCCTACTTGGCAACACGTGCCATGAAGAGCTGCCATCACCATCACTTTTTCCAAAACCTGGCCACACAGCCTCCAATGACCAGTGCTATTTCTCCTCTGAACTTGAACAGGATAAAGCGCTACCCCTACAAAACTTGTCCGCTGGTCGGTCAGCCAAAGATTACGGATCCATTCGCCCTCCTGGTCAGCTTGTAAGCAGCGACCAGGCAGAAACAGTGTGTGTTGAAAGGTCAGTTAAACAAGGGTCAAGCTCAGTCAGCAGCTTTGGCCAGTCCTCAAGCCACAACTCCAACTCTTCTTCAAACTCCAGCGTGGACATCAAAGAACTAGCACCCAACTTGAGCCTGTCAAAAATTGCGTTTGCCCCATTGGACGATTCAGAAATGAACGGAGGGGTGCAGTCGCCCCAGAATAAAACCATTGCTCCCATTAATAAATCAGTTGCGGCTCACGGTAAGAAAAATGTTCATGAGCCTGCTGGTGCTGCTGCTGGTTCAAATCCTGCTTTTGAAAACTACCACCAGGACACCAAGGGGGGGAACTCTGTCATGTTAAATATCCACATTAGGGAAAAAAGTCTTTCAAAAGATTCTAGCCGCGGGTCTCGACATCTGTCTAGCCAACAAGGGAAGCCATCAAGGGGTGAAGGTTCAAACAGTGGCACCCGCAAGCTCCCCCAGCCCGCCAAACTATCTCAGTCCCAGAGTGTCACAGACTTGGGGCGGCAGTCTGACGGCAGCCACAACGCTGGTCAGTCAAAGAGTGTGACAGACCTAGGCTGGCCGGCAGCTGCCTGCAACACTGCCGGTCAAGATCAGTTTTGGCAAGAATCCGACAAAAGTTTCAATAAACATAGACCTAAATCTTTGTCCCTCAAGGGGCATAACTACGGAAGGAGCAGACCAGTCCACTCTACGCCCCACCGGCCAAAGCTGGATGAAAACGGTACCCTTCCGATAGTCGTACCCAATATAACTCTTGATAAGAGCTCGCCCATGTTTCAGCCAACAGCCAGACCAGGTCACGTGGTTGCTCCCTCTGTTGCTGTTAGCTCATACAGGAGCTCAACGGTCAACTCAGCCAGCACAAACAGTTGTCAAGGTAACAAAGTCAGCACACAATGCATGCCCAATGACTCAGGTGAGAGCGCCATGGCCAAAGGTGCTGGTCTCAAAGACAGATCAGAGTCTAGTGAGAAAATCAGACGCAGAATCAAAACCCCGGTCTCGTTTAAGAAAGGCCGTCTGTCGCTGTACGACGACCGCCTGATGACCCAGAGCTTGTGTCCAGTGGAGAACTGTGGTGACCACATGTCGTCTGGTCAGATGGGTTGCTCTGATGGTGAGATCAAAGGTCACGACTATCAAAAGATGATCAAAAGTGATTCTGATCTTGTCCTTTAACCCTTTAAGCGCGCCAAGCCATGATCGTGGCTTTGCTGTTACATAACTTATAATGCGTAAGGCCACATGGCGCATGCTTTAAGGGTTAAGCCAGCTTTTGACTTGGTCATTTGACACATGCCAAATAGTCATCCAAAATGTCATTTGAAATGACATGTTTTTTATTTTTTGGTGTAAATGTATTGAGTCATTTTGTTTCAGGCAAACAAAACATTTTTTTGTTGTTGTATTAAGGCAGATTGTAAAACACAAACTTGTAGTAGGCAGGTTTTGGCATTCCTACCCTAACACTGACATTCAGTAAACATGGCAAATTTAAACCCATCATTCCAACACCATTGTGATGACAAGCAGTAATGCAGGAAAACACAACCTGAAGAGTATTAGTGTTACTGTTGAGTTGCTCCCTATAGGAATTGAAATAGCCCGTATTATAATTTACAGAGCTAATTAATTTGTACTTAAAATATTGCTGTGTCTGAGATAGTTTTAAGTTTGTTTAACAAATCAAAATAATGTTAAAATTTTTTATGTTTTTGATGTACAATGCCAGATTTTGTACATTTGTCTTTCTTGTAAATTATAAAAAAAACATTTTACTGCTTCTGTAATCTAAAACTTGTTTTATTTTTAAGTTCAAACAAAATCAACAAAACCAATACATATATGAATTTACCAGCTTTAAATACTTGCATTTTCTTTGCATAAACTATTTCTAATCTAAATGTAACTGTTATTTTACTGCACTTTTGGAATACTTGGTAATAATTTTATTACATTTTCTAGTTTACTTGTGCTAGAAGATTATAAGCTTATTATAAAAAGTTGTGTAGTTTTAATATTGTTGCTGCAAGGTTCAGATGGGGTAACTAAGTTGCAGGAAAACTGGCTTTCATTGGGTTTTTAATTGTTTGAAGAGGCTGGGGTGGTCCTTCTTGAACATTGTTATTTTTAAAAAAAATGTTTTATTTATTGTTTTCATTGCATGTTTTTTTTTTATGCAGTTTACTTATGACCTAGTATACTGTTTATCTCTGTGATATGGTTTGTTGGTTTTAATCCAGCAGCCTTTGAGTTTGCTCCCTTTATTATTGCTGCGATGGGAGTGCCCTCCCCTGAGCACAAAGTGTGTCTGTGATCCAAAGACTGAGGTGTGTGTGTGTGTGAGAGAGATGTTTATCTGTTATGATTTGATGGTTAAAAAGAGATTGTGGTGTGTGTGTGTTTATCTTCCATTTGCAAGCTGTCTCTAGTCCTGGTTTACATATTATTTTAACTGCTTAGTATTTAGAATGCTTATGTACAATCCACAAATATTTTCCAAGGGTATGTGGATAAAACAGAGCGTAGTGTATGTGAATGTTTGTGAAACAACCAGATACTCATCTTATCAAAACTTGTTTAAAATGTATGATATCCTTTAACAATTTGACCATCTTCTCAGCTGTAATAAGAGAATATAATATTATCTTGATTTTGTACTGGACCAGCGGCTACAATTAAGTTCTTGTTGCAGTTAATTCACACTTCAATGTGTCTAGTTTGAAGCTTAAACAAAGCTCAGGTGAAATATTCTATTTGGGAAATTTAAGATTTATTTTAAAAATTGATTAATAAATTATATAGCATCCTGGATTTCATCCAATTTATTTTTTATGAGGATAAAAATTATGAGGGTCTTTCAGTTTCTCCATCTTCAAATCTTCTGATTACTATGTAATAGATAAAAAATTCTTTATCTAATGTGGATTGTAAAACATGCATCAAACTCATTTTGATTGGTAATTGTTGCATCATACATTAGTTTAGATTCATTATTAAAAAACTGTTTGTATACTTCACCTTTTGCTCTTTGTTGTCTAAGTGTGAAAGATGAGTACCAGCGATGTTGAATTTGTTACCTTTCTTTGTTGGTTGACCATCTTTCTTTGTTGGTTGACCATCTTTCTTTGTAAGTTGACCACTTTTCTATGTTGATCACCTTTCTTTCTTTGTTGATTTCCTTTCTTTGTTGACCACCTACTTGATCTTGTTTCTCGTATATAAGCATGATGAATATTTTTGTAAAATCTCAAATACTGGATAAAAATGCGTCTAATGTTTACCTCAAGACTATAAATAGTACACTGTTGTAATAATTAATGTTGCAAATGGACAAAAGAGTCATGTGGGCTGCAGTTACCTCCAGCACCTAAAACTGTTTAGTTTGTTTTACAATAACTATGGCGATTGACTTATGCTTATGTGAGAAAAATTTGAAGTTATGCTTTAATTTATTTTGTAAAGAAATATTGTTTGCTTAAAAGACAAAAAAAAAAGACAATTTACTTTTTTGTCATCAGCACTTTGTGCTGGAATGTTTTAGCCATTGCCATGACAACACTAGTCTAACTATTTTATAGAATTGTTTATTCACAGTATCAGTGATTCAAACTAATTTTGAAGCTGCTGGTTGCTTTTGAACAATAACATTTGTTTTTGTACACATTTTAAATATTGTACATTTTGCAGTTTTGTTTGGTTGAAATGTTTTTGAAAGCTGATGCAAGATAAAGTTCTGTGGCCACTAATTAGCTGCTAATTTAATTGCTATAATTAAGTACCAGGAGTGAGTTTTATCTCGTTAATAAATGCTTGAGTGTATGTTTGGTGATTACCGTACTATTGAAAACCACTAAAATTACAAATTAAAGAAATGTTAATTTAAACTGTGTTTTGGATTAATTTGTATGGGTATCTTTCTGTGTATTTGTGTGTGAGGGGATCATTTTTGTATATTCTTTTATGTGTGGATTAATTTGTGTGGGTAAACTTTGGTACCCAATTTGTTCTGCGCACATTGAGTTCTTCAGGCAAGTAAAAATCTGGCAAGTTTTTCATATCTCAACATCTATATACTACTAAAAGTCAACTTTGTTTACATGTTTGAATATTTATTTGTTTGCCTGATCGAAAATTGTGATATGTTCGACTCTATCTGGAAAGCTGTAAAATGGTATGCAGGTAGAGAATAATTTTTTAATGCAGACAGACTGTTGATCACAAATTTATTTAAAGACGTTAATTAATTTATTGATTTATTCCTATGCAGAATAACCCATTTTTTTTAAAAATATTTGAAAAGCCACTAGACTCGGCGGGACCGTGACGTCACAGGTTTTTGTTTACTCTTTAGTACAATAAAATGGCGGCGTCTATTGAAGAAAATTGTGTTCCCATTCAAAAGTTTAACGCGTTCTAAATCTAATTTTCTGTCGGTCATAACTTTAACAATACGTCCGTTTGCTGTATTTATTACGTTCCAACACTTATATCAATTTTCAACTGTCTTTTTCATTTAGTTTTACGATAAATTTCTCTAGATCTAAAGATCAGCTATCGAAGGAAATTTATGAATCTAGCCTAGATCTAGATCTAGATCTAGCCTAGATGTAGGTCACTAGATTCAATGTAAATTCTACATCTAGAATCTATTTCAGGCCTTAATTATTTTATATAAATCTTTGTTTGGCTTATTTAAGATAAAATTTAATTTGAAAGTTAGTACTACTAGACTTATTTTTAGATCTAGATCTAGAATCTATACGCGTAAATCAAGTTGCATAAGGAGACACATAGTATAGTATAAAAATTCACTTGTGACGTCACGAGTAAATAGCTAAAATGGTAGCGTAGCCAGCTCTCATGCAGGAGGCACGGGTTCTAGACCAATATGTCAATGAAATTTTTTTTTTCAATTTTTTTTTTAGATGTGAATGATAACGTTGCCTATCTGAACTTGGCAAGATACAGGGCAGGTGAAGTAGAGTTCATCTGTTTCTTTGTCCTAAGCATATGAAAGGATAGTGTGGTCAGATACATGCTCGGCTGGAATTGTTTTTTAAACGATAAAAACATGTTGTCTGAGACTTGGCAGGACACTGGGCAGGTGAAGTAGAGTTGAGTAGGTCACCTGTGACGTCAGTTTATGAAGGGATAGTCCGAAATCGGTGTTTTCGGTGTTTTTAAAAGATAAAAAAACATATATTTGAATGTGGGGTCTGTTTTTTGTGACGATAAGTGACACTGCAGTAGCGTACCGAGGAGGGGGGGGGGGGGGCGGTAGGGGAGGGGAGGCGGGGGGTGGGGAGGGGAGGCGGGGGGTGGGGAGGGGAGGCGGGGGGGGGGAAGGGGGGGGTGGGGAGGTGGAGGGGGGAAGGGGGGGGGGACATATGTTGGGGCGCCAAAATGGTTTGGAAAAATAAATTGATAGGTTGAGGGGGGTTCAAATCGAAAGTTTGAGTGGGGGGGGGGGGGGTGCACATCAAAAGTTTGAGGGGGGGGGGTTCAAATCGAAAACTTTGTCCCCGGGCGCCGGGAAGGGTCGCTATGCCTCTGAGTGACAGACGTGATGTTTTTTGATGGATGACCCCCGAAACCCACAGTTATCCAACGGATGACGGGTATTCTAGTGCAATCTAAATATAAACCTCCATACTAAACAATGCAAGCAAACATTTACAATATAGGCTACCTCTATAGTGACGTACTTTACTGACTTAGTGCGGGATAGGGATGAAAAGGATTTATGGATTTAATACAAACTCCAAGGGCTCAAAACATGTTTTTAAGATACTTTACACTGGACTTTGAAGGTACATAGGCCAGGGAGCATATAAAATATAACGTGAGAGATGATGCAGACAAGTAGGCTCCCAGTGGAGAATGGAATAAGAGAAAAGAAGTGGAGGTGGAAAGGGCACACCCTCCGTGAAAACAGTTATTATTCAATGGATGAGATCATTTTAAGACAAAACATAAAAATCTAATATAAAAAGTTTAATTCTGTATGTTTGTAATAAGACTAAGAATAAGTTGGGGTACTATAGTCGTTTACTAAGTTGAATCAGGCGGTTCAGCCAGCGCCTCAGCATGGTGCAATTTGGCGCTCCGGGCTAGAATATGAGCACTATGCGTTTATGTTATGTTTGCGTTTGTGTTTTCTTTGGGTTTGAGTTTGGGTTTGCATTTGTGGTTGGGTTTGTGTTTGTTTTCGTTTGCATTTTTGTTTGCGTTTGTGTTTTCCTTGTGTTTGTGGTTGGGTTTGTCTTTGCGTTGGATTTTGTGTTTTCATTTGTGTTTGTGTTGTGTTTGCGCTTTTTTGTGTTTTGGTTGGTTGTGGTTAGGGTGGTTAATGCCAGGTATATGCTGATTACTAAACACACAAGTCATGGTCCGTAGCAGATAGTTTATCAGAGATGCCAGTGCAGGGCCTGGGCGACTAGTATAAATATAATGTGTATCTAATCATTTCTAAGTCTATATATAGGATATATATATATATTATATATATACGAGCCGACCCGCGGCGTATCATACGCCGCTATTTAGTTGATTTATTTTCTACTTTTCAGTAATTCATAATTTGTGAATTCGACAGTACCAATGCTGCCACTGAAAATATTTGCTTTAAAACACTAACCCCCCTCCTTTCCCCTAACCCCGACCCTACACCCCCCCCCCCGTGAAAGCAGCCTCCTCTTAGTTACCTCCTGTAAGTTTAAAGTCGGTTCAAACTAAATTATCTGCCCCTAATAGCCGTCACTAAACCTGGCTGTACGGTTTGTAAACATTAACGTGACCACAGCTCAGCAGACCATGTGGGGGTGGGGTAGGGTGGTAGTGATGGTGATAGAGAGAAAGAGAGGGGACTGTAAGGAGGCGCTTGCAGCTTGTTTTCTAATGGCTCGCAGAGGAGAATTATATATATAGATATTATATATATATTATATATATATATATATATATATATATATATATATATATATATATATATATATATATATAGATATTATATATATATTATATATATATATATATATATATATATATATATATATATATATATATATATATATATATATAGATATATATATATATATATAGATATTATATATATATTATATATATATATATATATATATATATATATATATATATATATATATAATATTTAATATATATATATATATATATATATATATATATATATATATATATATATATATATGATAGTAGGCCTATATCTCAACATAAAATTGTTTTTTAGTCCCTAAAATAAATTCATGAGAATCCATATTTTTAAACTGCTCGATCTTAATGTTATCGTTTATTATGTTCTTTACATTCTTTATTGTTTAGTATGGCAACTAAAACTTGTTCAAAAACAATTAAAACCTCTGTTTAATTAATAATTTATGTTTAATTACTTACACTTAGTTTTGTTTGTTGTTGGCTGGTTCAATGGCAACTATACAACAGTTATCTAAAAGTGCTGATACAATTGAATTAACCGAAGCACTTGTATTGACTAGAACCCGTTCTCAAGACTTGGAAAGCGTCCGTAAATTAAACTGCTGGTTAGTTTTGTAATTTGTTGTGTAGTGTTTGAGTTGAATTTCTCGGTTTATTCAGCAATAGCTATCTAGATCTAGATCTAACTGCCTGACTAGATGTATAACAATTGACAATTAGATTTAAATCTAGATCTAGTACGTAAATGAAACTTAGTCAAGTCAAACAGAACAGTTGAGTAAACATTAGAATAGATCTAGATCTAGTTAGTAGTTAGAGATCTAGTGACTAAAAGTAAATGCAAAGGTCCAGCTCATTACTTAGTTACTTAGACTAACAGTCATTAGTTATTTATTTAGTTTGTACAGCAACCCTTCTGGGGAAAAAGCCAAAATCAAACCACTGCTGCCTTGCAGATTGTGCTTGGGTGGACAAATATTATATTATGGGATCAAATCTAGAAAGAAAAGCTGCTTTTCTTTCTTGATTTGTTTCCAAACTATCTGCTTAAAAAAAGCAGCTAAAGTCTACATCGCTGGCCTTATGGTACATAATATTGACACATAATTGTTTTCGAGGAATCTCCTTCCATATTACAATTAGGAACGAAAAATAAATAATACAATACAAATCTATTAAATTGTTAACTATGTACCTTATTGAATATTAAGTCACATTAGGCCTAAAGTTTATTTATAAAACTTTTAGTCTTTAAACATGATGTTACTTGTTCTGGCTGGTTAAAAAGTATAACTTTTTCATACACTAGTGATCACCATTTTTTTTATCAAACCTCAGGGCATCCAATGTTGGAGATGTCAGTGTTGTACGACGCCTACCTAACCTTGAGGTGTGCAGCCTTAGCATTAATAAAATAACTACTCTACGTGACTTCGCCCACTGCTACAATTTACAGGTAATTAACAAAAATGCCTTTTTCTATTGCTTATCCAAATTTGTTTTTAAAAAATAAGTTATTTTTAGTTATAGATTTGTTTCTTTTTAGGAGTTGTATGTAAGAACTAACAATATCCAGCGACTTAGTGATATTCACTATCTGAAAAACTTGAAGAAACTTCGTTCTCTGTGGTTGTCAGAAAATCCTTGCGCCAATGAAGAGAATTATAGAATGACAGTTTTGAAGACACTTCCAACCTTGCAAAAACTTGACAACATTGGTGAGAAGTTTCTGTCCTAATTCTGTTGATCTATGTTACTTTTAATTTAGAATTTACTCCCATTTACTAGAATTAACTCCTATTGAAATAATTGGGTTCAGAACTGTTTATCAAACTGAATTCTTATCATATTGCTGAAGATAAAACTACTCTTATCAGTAATAGGTAGATTGCTGCTAGTTAACAGAACAATAATTGTATGACTATTTCAATAACATGTGACTTTTAGCTACAAATTTATCTTGTTTGATTATAAGGAGTAGCATGTATCACCTGGAACATGTTGGTCTATCCACAGTGGTCACAGAAGAGGAAGTATTGGCAGCAGCCACAGAAGGAGATGATTTGCCAGTCCCTGATGACTTTTCTTACTCCAGTGTGTTTGATAGCGTCACGCAGGAAGAAGACAACAAAGATGTTAGCGTCTCTCAGTCATCAGAAAGGTGGGCCTCGGCCAGAAGGAAACGCCAGCAGAAGAAAAGAGAAGATGATTTGAAAGAAAGACTGAGGCTGAGCTCTGAAGACAGCCGCAGCAGTGGGAAGAGTGAGGAGGATTGTGGGAAGAGTGAGGAGGATTGTGGGAATTTGAAATCTAGCAATGAGTGGGTCAAAGAACCGGAAGACGTCAGCCCGCAGAGTGAAGATGATGTTAGCAAAGATGTGGGTGATGAAAAAAGTAATGGGGATGGAGTTAAAGATAAGGCACTAAATGATTCTACGACAACTTGGTCTCTTAACTTAGGTGAACTGAAAGGATTGCCGGTAGAAAATAGAAGCAGCACTGATGAGGTTGATGATGTTTGTAAGGGAGGGGAAGACAACAATGGTCTTGAAGAAACCAAAAATGGGGGTCTTGTGGAAAATGAAGATGGGGGTCTTGAAGATAACAATAACACAGAGATATCATGTTTTGAATCCAATGTTCTCTGTGCGGGTATTCTAAAAGATTTGTGTGATGGGCTCCACTGTGACAGTAACTGTGTTGATTCTGTGAATGTAAACAAGACAGTTGTGTGTAGTCAGGACAGTCTTAGCCCGGAATCTGTTCTAGAACACAAACATGAAACTAAAGAAGAAAATCTCGAAGTTCTTGAACATACAGAAAACAAAAGAGAAGTATTTAGTGATAATTTAGATTCTGACACTTTCGGAAGTAACCTCAACAATTCAGCGTCTAACGCTGTTGTGTCTAAGCAGCCCTTGTTGGATAAAATCAGACTTGATGATTCACTAATGATGGCAGAGTCTGTGGATTATGTCAGGAGCTCAGTTGACCAGCTAGAGCTGCAGGACATTTCTCAAGAGATCAGCTCTACAGTGGTGTCAAGTTCAAGGGCAGATCACCCCGAACACTCTTTGAAATCAAAACTCCAAACAAAAGAGAGCAAAGATCCAGTGAACTGGGAAGAATACAAGTAAAAAAAATTTTCTGAATTATATTTTTTAATGTTCGTTTTTGTTTTAATTTTAATACATTCCAAATAGTTGTGATTTTCCCTAATTTTAAACTTTCTTGATTAACCCTAACCTATAACACATTTGCTGGTCAATTAGGTAATTTATAAATGATTTTTAATCAGTAAAAAAAATTGTTTGCCTATTTAAAGTGATTTTAACTGGGATTTATACATATTAGTAAGATTTTTGTTGTTTTATTTTCTATTTCAGTGATGATGAAGAATATATATTTAAATAAGGAATTGTAATAATTTGGTGACAATTGATTACGGTACAAGATTTGACAAAATACAGATATCCAGCTATTATGAAAAGCTTGTAAAAATGAGTTGTTGCTGTAGTACACTTTCTAAACTCTCATCTGGGCTTATTTCATATTCAATTCCCAGACAATCAATGACCATCTATTCAGTGCGACCGTTAATGTTTTTATTTATTTTAACAGTGTTATGTTTTGTTCCCCAGCCGGCTTCGAGTTGAGTTTGGCATGAAACCAGTTGAGAAAATAACTCCCACGGTCAGGCCTGTGTCAGCAGATGTTGCAAGAGCTAGGGTAAGTCATTTGACTTTTTTCGTCAGCATAAAAAGTTAAATATGACTGGTTCAGATTGTAAAATATCTACAGAGAAAAGGATTAACAATGAGCAAAATGGGAAATAACTCTTGCAGGGGCAGTTGTCTTCTAATCCCCCATTGTTCTTAAATTATCATTGGGGGAGGGGGGCGTAATGGGGAATTAAATATTATTTACAACAGTGTAGACAAACTGTGCAGTGGTCTCCTACTCCGCTAGAGCCCCCATACAATTGTTTCTGAGCGGGGCCTGAGTCTGTTAGTGCAATGTGTAGTCTTGTAATAGGCCAGGATTTTTTGTTGCCAAACTGCCAGGGCATATGTTACTGGTACCAATCTTCATCTTACAAAATGTGTTGGCGCATCCAATTGTGGTCAGATCTTAGTCTGAAGATTATTCATTGGTCCTTGCATGTCAGTTTGGACTAGGCATCACATGGGTAATACATTGCTGCCTACAACTAAAGTAAACTTTATTTACTAACTCTACACATCCCTAATATTAATGAACTTATTATACCATACTATACACATCTTTTGTATAAATGAAATTATTATTATACCTTACTATACTCATCCCTTATATAAATGTAATTATTATAATACCATGCTGTGCACATCCCTTGTATAAATGAAATTATTATTAGTAATAAATGTAGCTATTATTATGGCAACATGAACAATTAACCCCTTAACTTCTGTTCTACTCAGAATTCCAATATATTGCAAGCTGTACTGAGCCTGGTTAAAGAACTGGACAAGGATAGTTTGGACATTGTGGCTGGAGTTGTTAAGGCTAGACTAGACTGTTTCTAGTGGCTATGTGTGTTGTACTTATTTAAGATGTTATACCACCATTCAAATGAAAGTGTGATGTTCTTATTATAATGGCACTCGTTACTGACATTTTAACAAATGTATGTTGGGCTGATGTTTTACCAACATAATATTCTTAAGATAATTAACGCCAGTTACTAACATCGAACCAAATGTATGTTGTATTTCTAAGATTAAGATGTTATACCAACAAACAAATTTCCTACAATGTTTAGCATTCCTGGTTGGATGTTTGCAATAATGTTCAAACATTTCAAAATTTATATTAAAAATATTTTTTTTTTAATCCACTTGTTTTAGAATATTTAGATGTCTGTAATTATGATAAAGATTAATTGTCATTTCAGGATTTAAAAAAATATATTTGAACTACATTTGTTTTTCAAGACAAATTTATTAAATGGTTATTGGATATCTATAAATAGAATTTCTATGATTATATTTTTTAAGATCATCATGTTAATTTTTTAAAAAGGGTGTCAGCTGAAAAAAAAACAATCCTTATTTTAGTATTAATATTATTGTGTATTAAAATATGTTTTATTTTTGCAAATACAATATTGAGACTGATCAGATTGTAAAAATGAATGCTTATTGTTAGTTATGCAGTTTCCATCTGCACTCCCAACCAGTACAATGGGTATGTAAGAGCAGAAGCTAATGTGAGAATTACACTTTGTGTTGTATAGAGAATAATTTGCATGATTTTGAGACCAAAACATTGCCCTCTTCCTAATAATAATAAACTAATTTTTAGTATTAAATAAGTACAATAATTTATAGAAATTATACAGAATTATTATTATTATTATACTTGAAAAGTCAACAAAGCTAATTTATTTAGCCTGCCACGTATTTAAATTTGGCAAACAACAATTGTTATCCGTCCAAATTTTATTAAGTAACACTCATGCCATTGATATTTCATGTAATTTTATAATTCATGTAAATACTTTTATTGAACAAACTTTTTTGCTGTTTCATAATTGAAATTGTGTTATATATGCTTAAATGATGCTGTGTGGAATTATAAAATATATGTTGACAACATAACCCAGACTGTTTATACTAGAACTAGTCTACTTTCCTGGTGTTGACTGGATCATCAGGTTGAATTAATAAGGCTGGGTTCTGTGCTAATCAAGGCATATAACCAAAGCCAATCTACAACACAAATGACAGTGCTGCTTGGCAAAAGCAACAATTTTTAAGTGCAGCAGAACAAATTCTATAGTCTATGTATGATAAGACACAAAGCTTTATGTTCATAAAGTAAACAATTTTATAATTAACCATTGAAAACTGACAGCAGGGGGTTATCTTTTTAAAATAAATACTTGAGAAGCTTGGGGACAACTAGAATAAATTTAAAATAGTTTTACATAACCAAATATGTATCAAGCAGAAAATAAATTGCTTTCTCTAACCATTTTTGGTGCTGTTTATTAATATCTTTTTCATGTACAATAAAAAAACCAAATAAAGTTTTTTGTAAAATGTTGACTATTTAGTTGTCATTCTTTTCAATATATATTTAATATTTAAATATATTAAAATTAATGGTTTGAATTCTTTTTAAACCTTAGTTTATTCTGCGTAATAGCAAACTCATGTACTAAATAAAGATAGCAATGTTAATGGCAAAGGACATTTTTTTTTAATTCACATTATTTTCCTCAGCTTAATTTAGTTTTAAAAAGTTAACAAAATGTCAGATTTTCAAAACAAAGTTTGTGTGATTTTATTTTCTCGTGAACATATTTTTAGTACATACAAAATACAATGAAAGTGTATAAAAACAAATCTACATAACTCTACACAAAAACATCTAAGTAAAGAGTAAATAAATAATTACTACCTGATATTAAAAATTTTGTCCTATTTTAAACTTTAAGTAAACAAGAATTCAAAAAGGCTTTTAACTTCTTTTGATGGATGTCTATAAAGAATTATGTTATATCTACTACTCAAGTTGAAAAGATAAATGGAGAAAAAACTGCTAGTTGTTATCACAAGGCTTTGAAGGCTTGTCCCAGGAAGGCAAAGGTCTGGGAGTTGTTGATGAGTACAGGTCTGAGTATTCACTAAGCAATTTGGAATCAGCAGTAAAAATTTTGATCTCTGACTAAGCACTGAGTTACATGAGGAAATCTCAAAACTTGAGTGATGCTTGAACTTCTGGGTAGAAGCGGAAAAATCCCTGTTGAGATAGTAAACAAATACAGATTATAAAAAAATAGGGAAAAATCATTGTGAGATAGTAAATAAATACAGATTTTTATAAATAGTTAGCATTAAACAAATACTGTTGAGATAGTAAACAAATACAGATTATAAAAAAATAGGGAAAAATCATTGTGAGATAGTAAATAAATACAGATTTTTATAAATAGTTAGCATTAAACAAATACAGATTTTTTTTAAAAAAAGGGAAAAATCCCTGTTGAGATAGTAAACAAATACAGATTTTAAAAAATAGGGGAAAAATCTCTGTTGAGATAGTAAACAAATACAGATTTAAAAAAATAGTTAGCATGGTGATACCATGGATAAAATAAAACAGAAGAAATAAAAACCTCAAAAAGTCTGATGGCATGTACAACATCAGTTGTGGCCCCTGTTTCTCTGATGGAATGCATGGCAAATTGTGGCGCTCCCACATCAATTGTCTGCATGCCAAGTTTGGCAGACATGATTGGTCCAATGGTTGATCCACAGGTTGAGTCATTGCGTACAACAAAATCCTGAAAAGAATTTTACAGATGTAAAGCACAAAATGCTGAAAGAAAGTAAACTGTAACACATATGCAAAATCCTGAAAAATGTTTTACACTCACATTTCCTAAATTTTTAATTTTCTAATTGTAATCTCATCTTAACTAATCTAAATGGAAATTTATGAACATTTACAATTGCTTTTTGAAGAAATGTGTTTCTATTTTTAAAAAAAAATTCCTTAAGTTTATATTTCTAAACGGTAATATCCTTAAAATTTATAATTTCCATCTGTAAAAAGCTGAAAATACTTTAGATGTTGTCAGATGGAAACAAAATTTTATATTTAGAATGGTCATTTAACTTCTCTGTTGCTGCCACAAAATGAACATCGGTAAAATATTTATAGTAAACACAGCTAACCTGAAGAGGCACAGACACCTTCTTAGCCACCTGCCTCAAGATTGTAGCAGTAATACTGGTTGTAGCATAACGCTGATTGGAGTTGAACTTAATGACAATACCCTGTTTAAATGGGATGATGAGAGAATGAAAAAGGTGAATCAAGCAGCAAAAAAAATTTTTTTTTTATCATAAACAAAAACTGGACAGTTTTATTTTTCTATAAGTCTTCATTTAAAAAAATTAAAAAGTTCTCTTCTTTTAGTTCAAAATTAACAACCTGGTATTATAAAAATGTGTGTAAATTAAAAAAAAAAACGCTTTTTCTTGTTGTATAGGCCTTTAAGATATTGAACTATTATTTATTGTTGCATTAAACGTTTTAAAAAGTAAACTAAAGTTCAAATTTTTTACTACATGTAAAACACACTAGAAATTTTTGTAAAATATTTAACTTCTGACCTTGTGGAACTCTGGTTGATGATTGGCCTCATGTTTCTCTCTATGGAATAAATTACAGCTTTATTTATATTTACTTTTTACAAATGGAAGCCCAGTTGCTAATTTAAAATAAAGTCACAGCCATATATAGAAAATGGGAGATGGGTAATAACAAGCTCATTTCTTAGGAGCACTTACTTTTTGGGACCCTTTCCCCCCAGCTTTTTAAAGTGAAATTTAAGTTAAGAATGATATCACTTCAGCCAGCATTATAAATATACAGTTTATTAATTAATAATTAGAAGCAGTTGGCCCTATATATTAATAAAAATACTCTCTACGGCTAGCTAGACATGAAAAATGTACACTTACGAGTAGTTGGGGTGACAGCCATGAGCCTGGTCAGCACTGACCATGAAAGATTTGGCGATGGATTCCTCAAAGGCCGTCAGCTTCTCGGCACTGGAGCTGAGGCGACGCATGACATTTTCCTGGAACATCGACCCCGCGCCCTGGGCACTTTCTGACCCAACCTGGGGTTGAAAGGTCACACACAGTGATCTAACTTACTTATATGGTTACATTTCATTATGACAGTTTCTACCTAACATGGTTCTTTTGTCCAAATATTCTTTCATGGTACTCCAAGTCTATTTTAATAATTACAAAATATCATTTTTGTTATTTCACATTTCTCTTGTCAAAACATATGTAAAATAGTTTTTCCTAGACTTTTTACCAAAGGTTTGACCACATATATTATACATCAGCTGAATGGATGTTTGACACAAATGACTCACCTCCTCGTTATCAAACAAACTGATCATGCGAATGTTTGGGTCTACCAAAAGTTGGACCAAATATATTATACAACAGCTGAATGGATGTTTGACACAAATGACTCACCTCCTCATTATGTATTATATAACAGCTGAATGGATGTGTCACACAAATGACTAACCTCCTCGTTATCAAACAAGCTGATCATGCGAATGTTTGGGTCAGTCTCCAGACTTCCATCACCTAAGGAATCCAGCAGTCCCTGGACACATAAAGTAACACAGAAACATTAACTCTTTATCAAGCTCTTTAAGATGGTTTATACCATTATTATACATTTCTAATTCAAATAAATTAAAAACGTGTGAAAAAAATTAAACATTTTTGACAGCAGGTTTCTGTCATATTTGAAACATAATGAACCAGCAAAAATAATCTTACACAAAGATGGTTTGATAAAGTTACACAAAGATTGTTAACACCTAGCATAAAAAGGAACCAGCCAAATGAATTTTCTTTTAGGAACAGTTTTAAAATGTTAAGATTTTTGTTTTGTTTGCACCACCAAGTAGCACTTCAAATTTAACATAAAGCTACTGTTAGATGTAAGGGCCATGACCCAGTCCTGGGCACTATTTGTTAAGTAATTTTGTTAGTGGTCAGTCCATATTAGATGCTGGCGACTTTTATAAAATTAGACGAAAATGTTACCTTATAAGCTGCATAAGCATTGAACAAATTGTCTAGCCGAGGTGAGAAAATAAATTCTTCATAGGCTCCGCCCAGCGCCTGAAAATAGCAAAGGTTAGTAGAGTAAAACATTCATCCACTAAAGGATAATAGCAAAAGCTGGTAGGATCAAACTTCCAACCTTCACAAAAACCAACAATGTGCTGGAAACTGTGCACAAATGTTGACACTAAAACAAATCTTTAATATATCTAGGCCAAAGTTTTTTCTTACAGCAGGTTGTGTGTCTGCCAAACACAACTCAAAATCCATCATTTGGCTTGGATCAATCTTGAGCTCCTGGCACAGAATCTTGACCAGTGTAGGGGGATGTTTGGCTGCCTGTTGGCAATGTAATGAGCACAATGTGAAATGTATTTCTTAGTTCTTAAAGCATGTATACGGACAGTTTATGTAAATTAAAAGAACGATTTATTAGTAAGAGTTTTCAAAATACAAAATAATTTGGTTAATAAGCAGTATTTTACAAAGAATACCAATAGGTATATCACGGTAATTTTTATCACTGCAATAATACTAATCTATGCTTTACAATAGCACTGGTAGTAACAAGACACTGTATTAACATACTAGTGTTGTTGGAATAGTACAAAATTTGAACCCACCTGTATGTGGTAAGTAGTAGTGTCTCTTTATTTTACTTTTTCTCTATAAAAACATACAGTTTTACATGACATAACAGGGACAGACAACTAGGTGAAATTATTGCTTACCTGCCCTGTGGGTTCTGTTTCCTCTGAGCTGGTGGATTTTTTGTCCCCCTCCAACTCTGCCTGAGCACATGTTGCTAAAATGGGGCACCTGCAACACACACTAAAAGTTAATCTCAACAATATCCTGGGCATGTGTTGCTATTTAAAAAAAAGTTGTTAGGAGAGCTATTTCTTCTAAATTGTTTTTTACAAGTCTTCAAATTCTCCCTGATGCACTTCTAAATGCTATTTCTCCTTGTCTAGAAAAAAGTTATTTCCTATTCATCTCATACTACAAGTAAACGTCTAGCAGAATAGAGCAGCTAAACAAAACATGCTTGTGATAAATCCTAAAGCTGCCCCAATCAACTTACAAGTGATTTTCCTTGTTTGGGCCAAAGTTTTCGTTGATCTCCCTCTGTAGGTGGATGGCCAGGTGTGGAATGCGAAGGATGGGACGATTAATGTGAACCAGATGGTGGCTGATGTTTTCATCATTCTGAAATGTTTTATGGGACAATTAATGTGAACCAGATGATGGCTGATGTTTTCATCATTCTGAAATGTTTTTCACACTAGAATAAACACAACGGGATAAAAATATAAAAAACTGTTTCATGGATATTTGTGAAGATATTTGTCAGATTGGGTAAGATAACTGGATTTCAGAACAGAAATGTAACCTCATCTTTGTAGTCTATAAAAGAGTGTACAAACCTTATCTTTAGCTTACATTAGTGTGTACAAACCTTATCTTTGACCAAGACTCTGCCTGCCACTGTCAAATCCCTGTCAAACCATGTATTCCAGATCCCCCCACCATAGCACTCCACTCCAACCTGGCAGAATCCTTGCTTGACTTTGTTAGACACTGGCTTTACCTGGCAACATAAGTCACAAGTTAATTACAAGTTAATTAAATGTAGGAGAGTCAGGTTAAAAAAAATAATTAAGTATCCCACCAGACCCAATGGTCTATAGAACAGATGAAGTAGAGTTCATCTATTTTAGCAACCTCAGTAAAAGCAATGTCTGGTCAACACAATACTCAGCTAAATTTTGTTTCCAAAGATAGGTTAGATACCCAAACAATGTTGTGTGCACCCAGTAAAAGTGGTCTGATCACCATAATAATCAGCTACATTTTGTTTCAAACCATTGTTGTGTGGACTAAGAAATTTTCTTATGATGAGTCTGAAAACTGAAGGCATCAATATAACAAACTAGGCTAAGGCTGACTTACCCTGAGATATGGACTGTCTAAGGCTGACTTACCCTGAGACATGGACTGTCTAAGGCTGACTTACCCTGAGACATGGACTGTCCGTGTGAGCCCCAACCACACTGAAACCATTGCCTGGTCTGTACTTCCCTCCTATAGCAAACCCTATAATTGTTGAGTGATTTTTTGTGATAAAGTACTGAAAAAAAAAGTTGAATAACAGTAAATTATGGTATAGAAATTTAAAAAATGGACTTAATAAATGGAACATAAAAACAGATTAAAATCTTGATGATCAACACTAACTTTTCCAAGAGGGACTACATTCCATTGTTCTGCCTCTTTTAACTCTTTGAAACCATTTGAAACAAGGGCTTTTTTAACTTCATCCACAGCTGAAATAAACAGATAGGAAATTAAATACTTAATAAATTAGATGTTTAAGAGTATTTTGTAATGTAAAGTTGGAGATGTTTAACACAGAAGGATAATACAATGTGAAGTGAATAGGGAGATGCATTAATAAGAAAGAAAATCTTTAACTTACCGTGAAATGGGGAAGGAGATTTATTAATAAAAGACAGAAAATCTTTAGCACTGGCCAGGATTTTCTCTCGAGTTACAGCCTAAAAGAAAATAGTAAAAAATTATTTTCTACAAGATTTATTAAACCATCAAAATCATTAAAAGCATTACAAACATCAAATATTAAACATAATTCAGTCTGCCTATTTAGGTGTGGTAAACTATACTTTGAAAATAAAAACTTACCATTACTTATTTTGTTATGGATGAAAAAGTTACAAAAGGTATCAATCAATCAACCTGTAACAAAATAAGAAACTTTGGATAATTTTAAAAAAAAGAGCTCGTAGATTGGGGAAGAGGAACAGCTGAGGCATTATTATTATGTGATTATGACTAGGTCAGCAAAGCAAAAATGATGTAATAAAGTAGGATATAACGCTTGCAAAACAGATTACTACTAGTCATAATTTGACAGGCTAGTAATTTCACAATGGGACGGAGTGGTCTAGCGGTAGAGAGCTGGACTGCTAACCCGTAAGTCTCGAGTTCGAATCCGGGTTCAAGTCAGTAGACCATAAATTCGCCTGAAGCTAGTGGTGGCTTTATTACAAGTACATTGTGATATATTTGTGTCCAATATAATAGATAATTAAATAATAAAACAAACACAATGTCTAAATATATCAATATAGGCCAGATATTAATTTTAAGGCCAGATTTTAACTTTAAACGACAGTGTTTGAGATCAAGATTTGCTATATAAACAGCAGCTATTTGTAAAAAATTAGAGCAGTTTCCTATAAATTCTGACTATAATTTACCAAATTAAAAAAAAAAAAAAAAAGATGGCTGCAAAGTTAACAAGCTTGGTTGCATCAGATAAAAACATCACTAATCTTTATTTATTACTGAAATGTTTTAATAAAACTGTTCAAAATTACTAATTTTAAATTAGGTACATGAAACATTTTGTAACATTAATCCTAAAAATAAATTGACCTATTACTTCTATTTAACGACCTGCCTTAATCTAGGAATTGACTCAGTCAGACTAGATCTATATTCACTAGATCACTTAGACTAGAGTTCACTAGCTAGTAGCTAAAACTAGTAGCTAGACTGTAGACTTTAGTTAGTTGAGTAGAACAGTATTCAGTATTCACTAGTCAGTGTTGTAGTAGCTGTAGTGACTGTAACTGTAGTGAAGTGAGTGTCACTGTGTGACTGACTTGGTAGCTATTTTCAGCAACTATTTTGGTTTTAGCCTAACTAGATCTATTATTTTTTTAAAGAATTTTCTAAGAAAATGATTAGGGCCTAAAATCGTTAAATTCAATAAATTGGCCTAAATACTAAAATGACAAACAAATCAAATGAAACTTCTTGAATTGTTGCCAGATCATTCATTGAAATTTCATTGGCAAACAGACAAGGTATATCTGATATCTAATTCTTTAGAAAGCTTCAGGCTAAGAATAAAATGTGCACAGCTTACTACCTACACTTTTAATAATAATAAGGTAATGTATGCAACGATCTTCTGAATGTGTTGTGTAGCTAGTGTAATCAGTAATCTTACCGGCGTAGCCCAGATACGTAAACACAAACAACAAGCTAAGCCCGAGCAAGCAATCAATAAAAGGTAATCTTTGAATGAGAAGAGCTCTTACTTATTATACAAAAAAAAATTACGATTTATTCAAAAGAGCTAGAATAGATAGAGCTAGAGTTCTAGATCATTTTGTGATTAGGCCTAACTAAACTTTTTAAAAATTTATGAAGGATAGGCCAACACAATACTGTGCAAAGTGTACATACAGCAAAATAAAAAAAAATACTCCTTCAAAATTCTAAGCTCTTACCTTTGGACTATTCTTGCTAATTGGAATCTAATTAGTAAGACGTATGTCACCGAATGGCTAGCCAGATAGTTTTGATAATGACGACCTCATATGATAACTCAGACTTAATCAAGAGATAAGATGAAACTTAGTGACTCAAGATTAAGACCAAGTAGCTGTACAAACAACTTGATGCTACACTAACTACCAACGAGCATTTACTCAGGATCTTGACATTCTTAATGTACAACCTACAAAATATTTAGCTGTTGGTACTATTATTTTATGTACTTTGTATGGTCGCTCATAAACAGCTTCATAAAAAAAAAAGAAGGGGGTGGGTGGGTACTGGTTGCGGACTTTGGTGATAAAGGGGTGAGAGAATGCAGATTCGGCGTTAATGATTACACCCACACAGAGTTTCTTCTAGGCGTCTCTTCTTGTGGTGGGAGCGGGGGGGGGGGGGGGGGGGGGGGGGGGGGGGCGAAAACGTCAACCCCCCCCCCCCCTTCCCATGCGGACGTCCACAAAAATTAACCAATTTACTCCCTCCTCCGTGTGGACGTCACAAATGGATGACCCCATATATATATATATATATATATATATATATATATATATATATATATATATATATATATATATATATATATATATATATACTTTTACCAGTGTTCGCCCCACTCCTCCCCGAAAATTTTAGTAAGCTCCCCCCTCCCTCCCGCAAAATTTCAAGTGCCCCCCTCTTCCCCCCCCCCCCTCCCCCCCCTCCCCCCCCCCCCCCCCAGGAGAAAAAAAAACAACGAGCGGTTTTGCCATCTATATAGAATCTATATAATTCTCTACGTGGGGACCATACAAGACACCACCATGTAAGGGCTTCCTCACTCTCTAGGCTTATCGCTACCACCCACACCCCACAAGTCTGGTGAGCTGTGGTTTACCCCGAATGTTTACAATGTGACGGCTATTAGGGGCAGATAATTCAGCTTTTAAACAATTTGAAACCAAGTTCTCCTTGATCTTTTCATTGTCGTCTGTAAACTGTCATTACAGACGGGCGCTTTCATGGAGGGGAGAGGGGGGGGGGGGGGGGAGAAGTGAGGGGGGAGAAGGGGAGAAGAGAGGGTAGTGTCGAATTCACAAATTATTAATTACTGAAAAGTAGCAAAAAAAACAACTAAATAGCGGCGTATGCTTACGGCGCGGGTCGGCTAGTAAATAATAATAGCCCTATTTCACTGACAATGTCACCCTAGCCCACTTTGTTGTTATATAAGAAAATACGAGAAAGTTTAGGGGAAATAACTCCTGTTTTATGAAGCGCTAGGCTGGAATCTGCAACTCCTTCTCTTTTCCTGTAGGCCTGAAGCTTAGTATGACCTTTTTGGATCTTGTACATAAAGGGAAACGATCACGACAAGGTTAACGCGTAATTTTAAACTGAATAGTCTCCCTTATTTTAAAAAAACCGTCTTAAAAAACAACAAAAAAATGTTCAAATGTTCAAAACTATCTGTTAGAAAATTTATATCTCTCCCTGGCTAACGACTTTTCAAATTTTAAGAGAGAAATTAACAAACTCTATTTTGACGTAAATGATTTTTACGTCACTCGTGTTGGGATTATTGGATGACACTAATTACAAGTTTAATTATTTTTTTTTAAACACAGGACGTGAATCTTATACTGAAAAATCATTAAAATGCAAGTGTTTTAAAGTGTTTTAAAGCTAAAGAAAAAATATTCATGTAATACAAAAATACTTTATCTCTTTTGTCAGAAGATGAAAAAAAAACAACTAATTTCGCAGTTTTTATTTTAAGTGGGTGATTTAAATAATCACGCACGCGCGCGCTCGCAGGCACAGACACACATACAGAAATAGACCCGTTATGTACAGTCATCTCTTCGGAGGGGGGGGGGGGACGAAGCCCCTCCGAAATTTTTTTACCGCCCCCCCCCCCCCCCCCGAACGAAATGAAATTTATATAATTTATATAGAAAATATATACTTTTAACAGTGTCCGCCCCCCCCCCCCCCGAAGAAAGTCTACCGCCCCCCCCCCGAAAACTTCAAGTGCCCCCCCCCCCGGAGAAAAAAGTCTGGAAGAAACACTGGTTATGTAATATAGGCCTACATATATATATAGGCAAATACAATTTACATAAATAGATTTAAAGATTACTTTTATTTTAATTTTTGAAAATTAATTTCTACACTACATCCTTGTAGTTCTGTTGATGATTTAAGTTTTCTCAATTCACGGTTTGTATTAATTGGAGTATATAAATATGAGAAGACCTATATGAAGTTTCGATAATAACGATAACTAGTAGGGTTAGGCTTAACTTTACGCTAATGAAGATTTAATTAGGTTTCGTATGGTGAATATTGCGATACTACTACAAAGAATAAGCGTGAAAAGCTAATCGTTGAGAGTCTAATTATATTTGTACTAAAAATATCACTTTTCGCTTTGTATTGACATGATTTGAAAACAGTCTCTACATGGAAACCTACGCCATCTAGCGACAAAAACGAGGATGTTATCTACTCATGACATCAACTTCGTGACATTGGTGCAGATAAAACACAACAGGATCGCCCTAGCTTAGGCGGGTACTCGGGTTAAAAATAACTCGCCGATAACAAAGGGTTAAAACAATGCTGAATGTAGTTCGTAACTTGGTTCGCAGTTAGCCGTATAAATAGTGACGGACATCATGGGACAATTGATGATATGTGACAACCCGTTACATAAAAGACAACCCATCCCATAAATACTGTCAGACATCAGGGGGCCATTGATGATATCTGATAACCTGACAGTCCACCCCATTATAGACAACCCATCCCATAAATACTGACGGAGTTCAGTGGGTCATGGATGTCAACTGACAACCCGTTGCGGATCGCAGTTAATGCCCATAGCTCAAAATTTAAAAAAATAAAAAAATAAAAATTGTGAATGGGAAAAATTCACACACACAAAAATTAAAATTAAAAATAATAATTAACACAGAGAAAGAGTCACACACAAAAAAAAAATCAAAGAAATGTCGATTTCTTTGCTGAAAAATGACAAAATGTAATTACTAGCTGGTCATGAAGCTCCAGTAACTGAACAAGGTCACAGAAGCACCGGGCTATGTATACTTAGAAGACAAGATGGTGGAATGTTTTTTTTTCATTTATTTTAACTACATTGACATTTGGAGTCAACTATATGTAGAGTGTGCATATAGGACATATGACAGTCTTATTGAATAAGGACATTGTACTGTTGATGTACACAGCTGTGTCACTGACCATAGCCTGAGACACACCATTTAACAATAATGTAAAGAATCAGTTTTAGTCGTGTTTTCTGTTTTATAACATATCTTTCTATTGACTATGAGGCAGCTTTGTACAAGGAAATTGTTGATGAAGACCTGTCTTATAGAACAGAGATGTGTTGGTACTGGCAAAACATTCGGGCACAACAAGAGCTATCTCGTCTCTGCAGAATGTTCAAAAGTTTCTTTAAGTCAGCATCCGAACACAGCTATAATTAGTGCGTGTCTGCAGATTGTTCAAATGTTTCCATTGAAGGCAGCATCCTGATGTACTCTCCAATAATGAGACTGAACTCTCCCTCCACTTACGCTTCATAACACGACATAGAATCATGTCAATTTTCTCTTTCAAACGTCTAATGTTATTGTTTACTATAATGGCATGGATGTTTTTTAAAATAATAGTGTAGGCCTATACATTGTTGGTTGGTTAAATTGTCACTATAAAACATGTGCACTTAATGTTCACAAGCAGAAGTTTTAGGTGTAGAAATCTGCAGACTTTGGTCTTAATTTGCTGCGTCTGTATAATCTTGTTCAGCTTATCTCAAGAGCAAACTGGAGAGTGTGTGCATTTGTGTACGTGTGTATGTGTGCGAACGTATATATATATATATATATATATATATATATATATATATATATATATATATATATATATATATATATATATATATATATATATATATATATATATATATATATGTATGTATGTATTAATATACATGTATATATGTATGTATATATGTATGTATAGTGTCGTTGTGTGTCTGCACGTGTCTTTGTGTATGTACTTGTGTGTCTTTGTGCATATGCAAATGTCAGTGTGTGTTATCTTACAATAAAAAAAAAAGTAACACAACAAAAAAAAAAGAATGACAAAGGCCGGTCATTTAACATGAACGATTACTTCCTAATCATAATCGTTCGCATTCCAAAAACAGACGGCTTTTCTAGTACATTCCAACGTGATTGGTAATTAGGAAAAAAAAAACTTAATCTCAGCACATTTGCCTGGTTGAATTTTTCTACTAAAATCTACTATTTTAAAACTAAATAACTTCTTAAGATAAAAAAAAAAAACATTGTTATGTAACTAAAACCTAACAGTGTTTGTCGTAATTATATAAAAGTATATATTTACTATATAAATTCCATTTCGTTCGGGGGGAGGGGCGGTAGACTTTCTAACTCCCCCCCCCCCATCTTTATCTGGAAAGATGCCCGGAAGAAACTCTGCTCAAGATCGTGAACCAAAAATGAACTCCCCTGAAAAAAAAAATGGTTGCCCCGTCTAAGAACCGAAACAATGACTAGAACATTTGCGTGCACATTTCTTATAAAATAGTTCGATAGTTAAAATACATTCACAATGCTGCCTCCCACATACCCTTCCCCCACATTTGCTCCAGCACCAGCCCCCCCTTCCCTACCCATCGATCCTGGGCCCTCATCATTGACCCCCTACCTACCCATCGATCTTGGAGCCGCCATCTTTGACCCCCATCTACTATACTCACCCATCCAACCCCCCTCCTCCTCCCCCACTTCTCCCCTGTCCAACCAAAAAAGCCACCCAATTATAAACATACAAAAAAACACCTTCTCATAATATGATACAAAACAATTTGATAAATTACACTACACTAGAATGCTACCAATCACAATACAACACTACAACATAATTCAGCCCAACTCAATCAGACCACTTAACAACACAACACAACAACAACACAACACTACAACACAAACACAACAACACAAACACAACATAATACAACCCAACCTAATATAACAACAAAGCAAAATCACACTACATAGCAAAACAACTCAACAACAACACAAACACAACATAATAAAACCTCACCCAAACTTATATAACAAAACAACAAAATCACACCACATAACAAAACAATTCAACAACACACACACACGAACACAAAACACAGCAAACACAACAAAAAGACACACCCACCATGATATCATAACACCCGATACAATGAAACCTGATGCAAAGATTATTCTTCTAATATAAATCTTTAGAAAAGCCTGTCTAAAAGCTGCTACTACCTGCGACAGCTGATACTCAACAAAGAAAATCCAGTCCCCCACCAACACAGTAACCCAGAGGCGTAGCGACCCTTCCCGGCACCCGGGGACAAACTTTCAATTCGGCGCCCCTCTCGGGAGCAAAATTTTCAATTTGCACCCCCCTCAAACTGCAAAAATACAGCTTAAATGACATTTTAATTTGTTTTACAACCCATTTTGGCGCCCCCTAAGGTCGGCGCCCCCCCCCCCTTGCCCCCCACCCACCCATCGCTACGCCTCTGCAGACACCTCTGACCCCCTCAGTTCTAATCCATACGACTGTAAACAGAAACCCCAAATCTACGCGACACCCACCATCCCACTACATCCCACAATACCATTCATTACAATACACGACAAAAATAGAACAGAAAGCATATCTTATTTCCTAATATTTATTTCAATTAAAAACAGGTTTTGGGCAAACTAAAAAGATTTTCCCGTTTGTGACTAATAGAGTGATCTCCCTTCCCCTTTGTTAAAACCATTCATCTGGCTCCCATGTCATGTTTTAAGTTCTAGGATAGGTCCATAAATGACGTCAAACACATAGAAGATGTGGTGGTGGGGTAATGGAAGATGTAAGGGTGGGGTAATGTAAGATGAAGGGGTGGGGTACTTTTTCGTACAGACGTGTTACGAAGTGGAAAGGCTATGACATTTTGTATAGAGTTTATTTAAATGGAAAAAAAAAATTACGAAAAATAACGTATGCTTATTAAAATGAGAAAATGGGGGGTCCACTGGAAAGGTATTTTAAGGAGGGGATTGGCAGCAGCACAATAATGACGACGTGGAGGTCTTAGAAGAAGAAGAAGAAGCTGAAATAACATGGCGCCATTGATGGAATACCCCCTACAAAAATAAATGGTTTAATAAGAAAGTGTTGGATTTCAGTCTAAGCCAGGAGACTTTAAAAAATGTAAAAGTTATCTTCAAATTGAAGATAGGAAAAAAATCATGGAAGTTCTTTTTTTTTTCATTCTTTTTTATAATAACAAGAATAAGATAAGCTATTTTAATAAGTCGGTCTTTACAAATCTGAAGATTTGCAATACATCACAAATAAGCTTCTAATTGCTATAAAGTTCACGAAATCGTAGAGATGGAGCAATTGGGAACATTTTTAAATAGGCAATTTTATTTTTACTCTGTACCTTGAAAAAAATCTGCAAATCGAATACATTTTTGTAATTAACTTAATTTAAAATGGGGTCATCCATAAATAACGTCACGCTTTTTTGACGATTTTTACCTACCCCCTCCCCTCCGTCACACATTCACAATTAGCAAGACCTCCCCCCCCCCACTAAAATGACGTCACACCTCAGCCTACAACCCCCCCCCCCTTAAAATGCAGTTGAATTTTTCTTTATATACGATATTTTTTCCAAAAAATGTAATCAATTCCTATCACAATTTATTAAATCAGTTTTCTAAAACGTGAAATAAAGGCTAAAACTCGTTTTCTAACACTGCTTTTTTATGATGCAAAAATGTGACGTCACACCATCTGAACCCCCCACCCCCTCATCGCACACCGTCACAAAATTGCGGACGAGTGTAATTATCACTTTAACTTTTTTTTAAGTGTGACGTCATTTATGGACGACCTCCAACGGCAAATTAATTAATACCTAAAACTTAATTAAAGTTTAAAGCAAGCATTTCACAACTTCCATGCGGCTACTTCCGGGTAGGAGATGACCTAATGACCTACACCAATTCTCATTGGTCACCTAACAATCGTTATCATTGGTCAAGTGGTTTTTTTGAACACAGAATTGGTCTTGACGTTTTTTATCACTACAAGGACTGAGATAAAAAATAAACATTTTAAAAAAATGTTACACAGATACCAGAGCACAGATACCAGAGTCAACTACAAGCGGGACAGATATGCTCTGGGCTGACACCAATCGCGTGATTAGATGTGTGTAGCAGTACATTCACTGCTGTGTGAGTGTGTTGTTTCGGTTACATAACTGACAGTGTGTAGAAATTCATTGGAATACCTTGGATTTTCGTGAAACAGATTTTTTTGTTTGTTGATAATACAGAAACAACTGTAGAAATACAGGGAAAAACATAAAGTTCATGAACGATCACGTGACTATTTATAACTTCTAATGCAAGACTGTTGAGATAATTAGTTCAGTCGATGAATTGTTCATGTATTAGGCAATCAGCTTTAATATGAAGGTAGGCAAATCTTGTTGACTATTTAAATCAGTAACGTAACAAGACGGGGGTGCGGTCTGCACCAGGTGACGCCATTTTTGGGATGATACCAAATCGAAAAATCGTAAATTTTACTGTCAAAACAAAATATTACCCAGTTGAAATAATGAAATAGTCTGATCAGAGGCGTAGCGACCCTTCCCGGCGCCCGGGGACAAACTTTTTGATTTGCACCCCCTTCAAGATTTCGATTTGCACCCCCCTCACATTTTCGATTTGCACCCCCCTCAACCCATTTTGGCGCCCCCTAAGGTTGGCGCCCGGGGACATATATCCCCCCCCGTCCCCCCTCGCTACGCTACTGAGTCTGATGGAAAAAGGAGATACCAGACCAAAAATTTAAAAATTGTTGAAAGGTGGTGGGGTGGCGCCCTAAGTTATCACATCGGATGACACCCGTCCTAGCGACGCCACTGATTTAAATCACTAGTTTCAGGAGTCTTTAGATATAACACAAACGCCGAAGTCATTGACAAAACAATGACAGCACATCCAGAAGATCTGGCTACACAAGTTTGATACCACGCTCCTCCCATGAAATCTGTTTCTAAATATTCTTTCCACTTCAGTCCCACGTCTTTCCAACATCCGCCATCTCCTTTTCGGTTGATCGTTTCCGAGTTGTCTTAGATAAAAGGAATATATTTATAATTTATGTTAAATATTGTTTGCTAAATACGTGACATTACCAAGTTAAACTTACATAACAGAATGTTATTTATATTTACTTTACGTAGGGCTGTGTAGTAATACAATTCTACAATTGACAAGCTATTTATAATGTCGACTATTTAAAATAGCAACTCATCTTTGTGTTCACACACAACATAGGTCTGAAAAAAATTCACTGAATGATTGTATCGAAATGGAGAGTAGCTTTGCATGAAGGTTGTCGAATTTCTTTGGATAATCATTCTCACTAAAATCCTAGAATAATCTCTTGTGGCTAAAATGTTAGGATCATTTCTACCAAAAGAAATCGCAGGATAATATATATCCTAACTAAAATACTAGGATAACTTCAACCAAATAAAATCGCGTTCTACTATAACTGAAAATTTAAATAATAATAATACTTTGTCTTAACTTAATTCACAAGATTATCAATCCTAGCTTAATTATCTTAACACTAGTTCAGCGCTAATTGGAATCATAGGATAATGTATCTAAATTGTAATCCCTGTATGATGTATCCCAAATATTTTCGTAAATAAATGTATCCCAACTATAATATAATGATAATTCATCCCACGTGCAACATGTTAATTTATTCTAACTGATGTTGTGGTTGCGGTGTTAGTTGTGTTTGAGTAACGCGTGGTGTTTGAATATCGGGTGTTGTGTGTGGTGGGTGGTGTTGATGATGTGTATCTGGTGGGTGGTGGTGATGTGGTGGTGATGGTGGGTGGTGTTGATATGGTGGTGATCGTTGGTGGTGTTGATGATGTGTATCTGGTGGATGGTGTTTATGTGGTGGTGATGGTGTATTAGTAATGGGCGGTATTTATGTGGTGGTAATGGTGGGTGGTGGTGATGATGTGTAAGTAGTGGGCGGTGTCTATGTGGTGCTGATGGCGTCTAATTGGCATTAAGAAGGTCATGTGGTACGTGGTGCTAAACTGGTAGACAGTCTCTATACAACAGCCTTAAGCAGAAGAGATAATATAGTCAATGAACAAGCCAAACGATGACCAATCGGACCTGTATCTAACTTTAACTACTAACTGAATCTGTTAACCAGTGGCGTAGCCAGGATCGTCTCAAGGGGGGGGGGGTCCAATTTTTACCCGGGGACAAACTTTCGATTTGCACCCCCCCCTCAAACTTTCGATTTGCACCCCCTCATACTTTTTATATATACCGAGGGGTCTATGGGGGGGGGGGTTATGACCCCCCCTAACCCCCCTGCCTACGCCACTGCTGTTAACTGAAGCTGCTAACTAACTGAATCCACTATTAACTAACTAACCGAAGCGTCTAACTGAATCTACTAACTAACCGAGGCTGTTAACTAACTGAATCTACTAACTAACTGAATCTACTAACTAACTGAATCTACTAACAGAATCTACCAACTAACTGAATCTACTAACAGAATCTACTAACTAACTGAATCTACTAACTAACCGAGGCTGTTAACTAACTGAATGTGCTAACGAACTCAATCTGCTAACGAACTGAATCTACTAACTAACTGAATCTACTAACTAACCGAGGCTGTTAACTAACTGAATCTACTAACTAACTCAATCTGCTAACGAACTGAATCTACTAACTAACTGAATCTACTAACTAACCGAGGCTGTTAACTAACTGAATCTACTAACTGAATCTGCTAACTAACCGAAGCTGTTAACTGAATCTACTAACTAACTGAATCGGCTAACTAACCGAAGCTGTTAACTGAATCTGCTAACTAACCGGCAGTGTTTCTTCCAGACTTTTTTCTCCGGGGGGGGGGGGCACTGTTAAAAGTATATATTTTCTATATAATTTATATACATTTCATTTCGTTCGGGGGGGGGGGGCGCTTCGCCCCCCCCCCCCCCCGAAAAGATGCCTGGAAGAAACTCTGTAACCGAGGCTGTTAACTGAATCTGCTAACTAACCAAAGCTGCTAACTGAAGCTGTTCTGCCACTTACCTTACTCGCCATTACCATCGACCTGAACTTATTGACGGACTGCCTAGACAAAGCAAACAATCCAGACATTCATATAAAATTTAAAAAAAATAACGAAAAGAAAAACCCAACGATTTTTTAATAATGTACTCATAGAATAAAATAATAATTCAAGAAACTTTAATTATTTGTCACAAGCTGCGAAATGTAAATTGATTTTGTGAAATCTCCAACATCAAACCCACACTTTTAAAATTGAAGTTTTAGATTTTTTTGTTCAAATTCTGAACTTTAAAATCGTGGCTGGCTGTCGAACTAACAACGAGGTGAATCACACACGTATAATTTAAATGTTCCGTTAAAAAAAATCGAATTATTGATCGAATATTTAATAAAAAGTAAATAGTGACTGTCAGAGATAACAATTTATGTTTATGTGTCCTAAAATAAATGAAAGACTAGAAAGAGGCGTGGCTCGTGTTAACGATAAATCAACAGACGAAAAAAAAACCGGTGTGGCTAACGACCCGGAATTTAATTAAAGACAAACACGAAATTCTAAAATATAGTTTAGTTAAAACTAACTTTTTAACTTTAATTACTGAGATTACAGCTTTTTTTGGCAACAACGTATGTTTACCTATTTAACAGTCACGGAAGTATTTATTATAATGAAATTAGCGGTTATAAAAATTGTGACCAATATTTTATTTTCAAGTTAAATTCAAGATTTTTTTGGTTATTAGACCAGTGTACATGTAATAATGTTTAGTTGAAAACCTGGAAACAGATCCGATGTTTTACAATGTGCAATAACTCTTGCTGGTTAAACACTTGCCTAAGTCGTCAAGAGTTCTGCGCCATGGCGTCTTCAAACCGATCTCAGATCGTCCTGGCCCCTGACCAAAGCGTGGACCGGATGTACAGCGACGCCATCTTCACATTCCAGAGCATCATTCTGCCCGTGGTCGCCCTGTGGGGGATGTTCGCCAACAGCGTGAACGTCGTCGTGTTCCTGAAGATGGGCTGCCACGACAGCGTCAACACGGCCCTGTTCATGTTAACGGTGTCCGATCTGCTCTACTTCGTCCGGTCTTTGTGTCAAATCGTCTGCTTGTACATGTCCAGCCTGCTCCCTGGCCTGGTCTGGTACCTTGACCCCGTGTCAGTCTCTTGGACTCTCATATGGTACGGCAAGTTCCTGTATGACGTCTCCTGCACCACAACATCCTACATCGCTTTTGCCAGATGCTGCATCGTCGTCATGCCTCTGAAATTCAAATCAACCTTCACGAAATCTCGAACCATCAGAGTCATTGCTGGTATCTACCTTTTCATGCTGATCCAGTACCCTCCCGCTCTTCACCACGCAAGGGTTCAAACCCGTGTTTGACGTCAAGATCAACAAGACACGTCTGATTCTCTGGACGTCAGACAACCGGAACGATATCGTGCGCGTCGTCAACGACATCATGAGCAGAAACGTCTACCCTGTCATCAACCTCACCGTGACGATCTGCTGTCTCTTTGTTTTGGTTTACGGGCTAGAGACCGCCTCCAAAGTCAGGAGAGCTATGCAGAACAGACTCGACCAAAAAGACAAAAACAGTTCTTTTCTCTCTGACAAGGACTTGAGAATTATCAAAATGATAACTCTGGTTACTCTGTCCTCAGTTATTTGTAACCTCCCTTTGTTTTTCATCTCCATTTTCCGACTAGTTTTCCCCGAATTTGACGCCGGAAAAATGTACAGCCAGTTGTTTAATTTGGTGAACTTTATCGGGAGCTTCACCGTCTGGTTCAACCTGTCCATTAATTTTGTCATTTACTACACCTACAACACGCAGTTTAAAACCACGCTGAGGTCCCTGTGTTCTACCGGGAGTCCGCTCTATTACAGCGGGAAGAAAAAATCTCTGTACTGACGGGATCTTTTGTGTCGATGTGGTAGACGGTGTCGTCGATTGTACAACAAACAACCCCAGCTGAGGTGCGTGTGGCGGCTTCTGAGAAATGATTAATAGGCCATTGTTCGATTTGCCCCAAAATGACAGAATTACCCCCCCCCCCCCCAGCTGATCTGCCGCTTTAACCCCCGACTCTGAAATCGACAAAATGCAACGTTCGAGAACTCAAGGGTTAATTAAAACAGATTGAAATTGAAGATAAAGAAATACACACGTTACCACACTTTAATCTATGATTTATGTTTGTTTATATATTTACTGATTTCTATATCCCGTACAAGTAAGGGGAATTTTGCTAGTATGACATAAGTTACACATGGTTTATTTTTGTTTATATATTCACTGATCTCTTTACCCCGTACAAGTACGGGCAACTTTACTAGTAGATCATAAATTCCATATCTGTAAAACTGTAAACATAATTTTAGTCACCTGTTTCAACGACGCCCTTTTCAGGCAATGTTTATCTCTAAGCACGGCGGTGCTGTGATTACACCGACACGACGACAGCAGATAATAAATAAATAAGTGTTGGTTCTCTGTAGTTCTTCCTACGGCAGTAGCCTCGTAACCTCTTCTAGTGACAAACATTGGACCATTGCAGTAGCCTAGCGAGGGGGGGGGGGGGAACATATGTCCCCGGGCGCTGACCTTAGGGGCGCCAAAATGGGTTGGAAAAATAAATTGAAAGGTTGAGGGGGGTGGAAATTGAAAGTTTGAGGGGGGGGGCGCAAATCGAAATCTTGAGGAGGGGGGTGCAAATAGAAATCTTGAGGGGGGGGGGATGGTGCAACTCGAAATGTTTGTACCCGGGCGCCGGGAAGGGTCGCTACGCCTCTGGCCCATTGTGTGAATCTTTCATAGACACTATCTGGTCTGCATGTGTTTTATTTTGAATGCGTTTCTTTTGTAAATTAGGCGAAATGAATTCTTTTTCATATACATGATAGATTCCTTAACAATTTGTGTTTTCTTAGTTTAGATGGAATCTGAAAATAAAACATTATTCGATTTTCATGTCAAAGAGAACAGGCACATTTGAAACAAGGTAATTAAAAAGTCTAGTGACAATTTTAGCGCAATTTCCTTATGTTATCTAAAAATAGCTCTCTCGTAGCGTAAATCAAGAGCAGGGTTAGTAAAACCATTGGTTAAAATACATGTTTTATTTACAATAGAGTTACATGACTAAAAACCATTGCGCGCCTAGCTACTGAACGTGATGACGCAGCCATTGAGCGTAATGGCGCAGCTATTGAACGTGATGACGCGTGTGGTGTGGTTGGAAAAAATGCCTACTAATTCGGTCCAAATTTTAATTAATTAAAAATTTTTTGTGTGACCGAACGAAAGGATATTTTTTAAAACTTTCTTCGGCAATATTGTTCTAAATTATAGCAGGAATCGATTGGTACATGTTTCAAGTCGCTAAGTGGTCTGGTTGCCGAGATATGGGCCAAAAACTGCTTTTTTTCGAGGTTTTTTGGCTTTTCCGGGAAATCCATGAAAGAAACCCGGATTTTTTATGGCCTATGTTCATCCTCGTAACTTGCTTAACATAATTGCTTTTGGAACTAGTCATCGATATTGCTCCGTTGAGGAGGAGATACGACTTAAAGCTGCGGACACACATCCATCCATCCATCCATCCATCCATTCATACATTCCCAGAAAAGACGAGTTAATAAACGCAATTCTCCAGAATGGAAATTGCGCTAAAAAAAAAAGGTGACGATGGGTGAATGCGTTTATTCGGGTAAAACAAGTATAGAAATACTGGGTTGGGGTCAGAGGCGTAGCGACCCTTCCCGGCGCCCGGGGACAAACTTTCAATTTGCCCCCCCCCCGGAACAAACTGCAGCTAAAATGAGCTTTTAATTTTTTAACCTCTTTTGGCGCCCCCTAGGGCTACGCCTTTGGATGGGGTACGCCAGAAAGACAGCAACAACAAGGTCGAATTAAATCCTCAACGTTTGTTAACTAAATAAACAATACCGACTCATTATCAGCGTAGATACTTTAAAGCAGTGGATAAAAAAGTAATTAGAGCCCCCCCCCCCTCCTCCACCCCAAACTTTGCGCCGTTTAAAATATAGCATATCTGAATCGTACATAGCAACAGAGACCGTAACGCTTCGATAAGTCCTGCTAAATAAAAGGCTTTAACTCTATAATGTTTCACCGCCAAGTTTATCAAAAAACACTTTTGGTTATCAATAAAATAACCCAGGGAGTAGACAGACTAGTGTCGACAAAAAACTTGATATCAATCATATCGTGCCTGCCGAGTTCTATAATTAGCTGCAGTTGTCCTGTGATACACAAACTTCCCTGACGTTTTGCACTGACATTTTTAAAAATTTGCAACCATATAATGAACCCTGATTTGATATTAAATGTTTGTCATGTGACTTTATTGTAGGCTATTTCTGTCTGAACTATGCAACTCAATGATACATGATGTCTCATCAATGTTATGCCAGTCATTTGCCAGATTAAACTTGTTCTTTCAGTCATCTTTCCGGAAGTGGCGCGGAACACCTACCACCCCCCCCCCCCCCCGCAGCACGTACCCCCCTACGAAATAGAATACATATAAAAATTATGTAGAAAATATTTACTTTAACAAGGTACCGCCCCTACAAGTTTAGAGCGCCCCCACCCATTCGGAAGACTCAGCCCCCTCCCCCTTCCCGGAAAAAAAATGTGAGAATGAGTATAAAAAAGCCTCTATTACACTTCTACCTCATGCAAATGTTTATAAAACGTACACTGTAAATGATTGTAATGTAGTAGATCTATAGTAGATCTGTCGTGTTGTAAAGTAAGTCTGTCATTTGAGTTCTGTAGACTATATCTTGTAAAAAATGTCGTTTGAGTTTTGTAGACTCTATCTTGTAATAATTGTCATTTGAGTTTTGTAGACTCTATAATAACATTGCATCAAATTTTCAGATGTTTTTTTTTTAATTTTTTAAATTAAAAGTTTGACTTTATTTATGATAGTAATGCTACTACGACTACTATTGATATTTAATACTGCTTCTTACTTCTACTATTAATAATAATTATAATCAGTGGCGTCACTAGGTCTTGTGTAATTCGGAGCGGTAACAGAGATACAACTGGATAAAACATTGTTTTACAGTAATTTTTCGATTTTTTGGGTGTGGGGTAACCATCCAAAACGGTGTCACCCTGAGCCGACTGCACCCTCAATCGCCACCAGTATCCATTTAGCCCTAGCACCAAGACGAAACATCCATAATCCAGTATCCATTGAGCCATAGCACCAAGACAAAACATCCATAATCCAGTATCCGTTGAGCCATAGCACCGAGACAAAACATCCATAATCCAGTATCCGTTGAGCCATAGCATCAAGACGAAACATCCATAATCCAGTATCCATTGAGCCCATAGCACCAGGACAAAACATCCATAATCCAGTATCCGTTGAGCCATAGCACCAAGACAAAACATCCATAATCCAGTATCCGTTGAGCTATAGCACCAAGACAACACTTATCCACCAATTTCTACACTGCTGGGCCGACCTTCTTTATCTCAAGGCGTCCATATTTGTTTCCCTTAACTGCCACTGTTCAAGTAGTTTTTGATCTTCTTCCCCTACCCCGTGGGTTCTACTTTAATACCGTTTTTTTTGTATAAGGAAGTGTCTTACACACCCCTTTAGAAATTCTATGTGTGGTTTATTCTGCACATCTTAAGGAAGATCATTATCCACTTACTTAAAACATTACACATCTTTCCTAAACTCCTCTTCCAATATAAAATGGTTAGACTATCGCTATAATTATATATTTTTCTATAGATATTATATTTCAGAGCTTTTAATTAAATAGGTACCTTGATCAGTAATTAATTAATTTATCTAGTTCTAAAAGTTAACGCTTTGGGTTCCTTTTTATTTTACCGTAGGCACAAAAACAGGTAAACTCTACTTCATCTGTTCCAGTGATCGGCAAGTACATATATGCCTATATTAACAGTAGAGTGCCGTGGTATTTACTTTAACATTAGTTGGCCCTTGGTACATATCTAGTAGCCAATGAGACTAGCATAACATATGTATGACTATATGTATTGTTATTACACAGATAAGATAACATGTTGGGCCCCCTAATATCAACGGGCCCCTGGCTGTTTCCCAACCAGCCCTTAATCCTTCACCGCACCCATTAATATTCATTATACATCATCCCTCCCCCCTTCAACACCCTATCTAAACATGCAACCACAGGCCAACTAGTCTAAAGGTCAAAGGTTAATTATATGCGTGTGTTATTTCCCCTCGATCAAAGCAGACGATGACACAGTGGGTGTAAACAATGATCCGATCCTAAACCCGTAAATTTCTCCAACTCCCGCCCTTCATTGTCCTTGAGAAACCACGTGACTCTAATCGTGTCGAGACAACAGAATGACATACAGCACATCAGCGCGGTTGGAAATGATAATTAGTTATAAGTTTGTTTTTAGGGCCAGTTATAAAACTAGATAGTAAAAGTGAAATGACTATCTGATGACGGTTTTCGGGTTGTTTTTTAAGTTCGGTGTTGTCAGCTTTTAATTTTCAAATGTGTGAGTTTCGTATCAGGATATTTTATGTGCAATTCTTTTAGGAATATTTTTGTGAATTGTTTATTTATGTGGACGTGATTTCATTTAACTGATACAATAGTTGTTAGTGTAGGTTAGAAGCATTCTATAGGCAGATAATTTTTTTTTTCTGGAGGATTGTATTGCGGTGTTGTTCAGATTTGTGTGATAATTGTGTCGCAACAAATTGTTGCTCCGACTTTTTAACAATTATTTCATCTATCTTGCGTTATTGCTAAGGCGAAGAACAAAATGTAAAACGGAAGTTTTGTTTCGTTAAAAGTTGAAGGTATGTTGTGAGGTGGGTAAAAATTCAAGTTTTTATTTTACTTTTA